AAGATTTCTTCATTATCATTGTCTAAATAACAACCTAGTTGTGCTTTACATTTTTAAAATCAAACAATTTATGCTAATTTAAGTACAATATAATTTTATATGCAATTTTTTTAGTTTTTATTTGAGTTTTTTCAATTTTAAGATTTGTAAAGATTTGGAAAAAAATCTTTACCTTACTTCGCTCATTAATTGGTGTAGAGTTAGCTTGTAGATTCGATATATGATTACTTTGACTAAGAATACTGCACATTAAAGAATGAAAACCATGTTGTGAGAAGAAAATCTACATTATTTGAAATATTGAATTTCATACAAACGATGTTTGGTTTTTCACGTTTATAGTATAAACTATTGACGAGTTAGTTTAATGCATATGCACATGATGATTTTTATATGGTTTGAGTTTTAATGAATATTTTGAGATTTTGTGCTTTCAATTTGAGTACATTCAAAGCAACTTGAAGTTCAGATTTACTCGTTAATGAAGAAGAAAGACACGGGTTTTGAAGCTTTGTCCCACACAAAAAAACCGAAAAACTGTCCGACAAAACAAAAGCCAAAAATCCTCACTGAATATTAATTTGAAAAACTAACTACTGGGAATTGTTCCACGACCATGGTTCATGGTCGTCGTAGTAGAGAGAATGGTCGGTCCTGCAGATCCAGCAGTACCTCAATGGCGGGTAATGCAATGCACCACGCTAGGTCCGATAGACAATTGGAGTGAGGATAGGAGAATAAGCGCCAGCTTAAACCCTAAACCGTAGACTAGACGGGAGTGGAATGAGTGGAAGTGGAGAAATGTCTATGCCCAAGGTGGTACAAACTGTTGTTGGAAGTTCAATTATGCTGTGGCGACTTCCTAATACTACATTCGGTCGCAGAATCCCAAGTATTAGTGATAAGAAAACCAAACAACTGCTATACTTTATGGCCAGCGACAAAAACAAAAGTGTGTTTTGAAGCTCTTGCACCGTCGTTCGAATCTTGCCATATTTGCAACAAGATGGCAGCGTGGAAAACCTATCCCGAAAATTTACAAAGCTTGCCCCCGCTGTAACTCTTCTCTGTGAGACTCTTCTTCGGCAGTGGTGGGGGAATGCTTTTTGAAAGAGGCGTGTAGCTTGCTCCCAGATCTTCTCTAAATCCTCACATGTCCAGATCAGATGAAACCGCATCTTTTTCTGCTCTATCACCTGAGATCCGACTTATGCACTCCGAGATTTGTCCATGTAGGCAGACGCTTCTTCGGATTCTAACAAAAGATAGCCTCCATCTATGATCTTGGCACCGAAGACTATTTTTTCCTCGGTCGTCGCGAAGGCACTCACATACTCAAGATTCGCCACTAAATGCTTCATGATATAGTGCATGGAGTGTAAGAGTTTGTCCACCTACACGATCTGCGGCTGAGAATCAATATTGGAGACATGCATTCCATGCTGGCATGCTTTGACGAGGGTCAATGTTGGATGACCAAGGTCAATAACTAAAGAATCTGTCGGGTCCATGACGTGCTGCTTTTGGGGAATAGGAAAAAGGATACGTTATACAAATGCTTTTGGGGACTAGAAACACATACAAACACGTGATACAAAAGCTTTCTGAGAGGAACCATAGATGATAGCCAGGTAACTACTGTGGATGAAAAGGGATTGCTGATGGACATACATTGGAAGTCTAACATAAACAAAATGACAAAATCTAGAAAAGTAGAAAAGACACAGGGTACTTTTAACGATTTTGTTGTACTTTTTGGGGCTACCGTTCTTATCTCCAATCCGGCTAGGCTGAGAGGTGTTAAGTCTACTCTTGTGAAATTTTCGATATTTTGTAAAAATAGATCCACGTAAGGTTGTGCATGCCATCTCGTCCCCTGTCATCATTGACCATTGTGATATAGCATTCTTTCAAATATTTTGGTTAATTGCTATGAATATAGAACAGAGGATGGGAATACCACATCAAGTATTGTAGTGATTATATCAAGTGAGTATGATGAGGCTGGTTCTCATAGCTCCACAATAAGAATATTTTCCATTGATTTCAAAATATTGCACCATTTCGTTGGATAGGTCTGCATGCCACTAGAGCATCAACATTGATCTTTTATAGATTGTATCACTTATAATTTATATATATAATTTGTGAAAAAAATATTGCATCATATGTTGAATGATTGATTTTATGTTATCCAATATGTATAATCACTCTAAGTGATTTTACAATCAAAAATCTAAGTCATTGTCATATCTTGGTGTAATTTGAAGATTATAATATGCATGAATGTGAAAAATGGGTTCTTCGACTATCAACTAGATGATGTTGAAGAACCCATTTTTCACCCAGTTCTTCGACTGGTCGATTTGGCGTTGCAGCAAGTGGCAAATTGAGTTTAACAGGCCAGAATACCACTCAGTTCCCAGGTAGCAACTCGGCACGAGAATCGCCAAAAAAATTTGGACCATTTCTCGATTTGTGCGTGTCATCCTTGCGCAGGGGCCATGCTAATCTTCTCTGTATCGTTCCAATTTTATCGGATGTCCCCGAAGGGACGAAGAAACGACTGCAGGAGTGGTATATATACAGCCAAGTTGAATCGTACCTAAGTGTATGGTTTTAAGGGCGAGTGATTCGCCTCGTTTCTCGACGTAGGTCACTCATTCGACTGCTCACTGAGTGAGCAGTCGGAGGAGTGACTTCGACGTTGACGTATAAGCCTCACTCACGTTGACGTCCCTAAGCCTTCCGAATGAATGGTGAGTTCCTGTCTCCTTACACATTGCCCTTCATATTTTACTCCTCGGTCCGTCTGCGACCATCTCACGTTCTCATGCCCGTGGCTTGAGAACCTCGGGCTTTCTTTACGAAGTCATATGGCTATCTTCTCTGCGATATTCCAAATTCCTTTCTTGTGTGAATTATTATTCTCATCACATTATATACGGAGAATGAGCGAGGAATCGAAAGTACTGTACACATGAACTTTGTTTGTTTGGAATGGAGAAGAGGAAGAGTAGCGTTGAGAGTTAGACTTATTCACTTCAACATGTTCTGAAGATTAACTTCAAGCGGCTACATGCTTCAGGTACTTCCTTTAGTTGTCTACAGAAATATGAAAGAGAACGTGGACTCAATCCAGTCTATGGGATATATCCACTTTTCAAGGATTCACTTTCTTTTGCAGGGTAAAAATTGAAGTTTCGTAGTTTAGTCATTCGTTACAAATACATATAGAAACACTATTCACAAGTATAGAGTCTGGAAAAATTTGCAATCAATTCACAACCATTTTTCCAACCTGTTGCGTTATCTATATCTCTTCATGACTGTTAAGTTCAACTTTCAACCTCATCATATGTGATCATTAATTTTTTTTTATAAATAATACACTTGAAGTTGTCAATGATATTTAGCATTTTCAAAAATTCGATTTTATCATATAAGTAACAATTTGTCGAATTTTTTTTACAAGATAGTATAATCATCAAGATATATTGATTAACTTTCAATTCTTAATATTATGATTCATTGAATGATATAAAACTTTAGTATATGTACATGATTGAAACCATTAATGGTTTGTTTACTTCTATATGTTGATATATTTTGCATACATGCTTGACATTGCAAGTGAAAAAAATCAGCTCATATGATAATAATTGTATCATGATAAGGACATACATTTTTATTTCATCAACTACAAAATCAAAAGGATGTAAATTTATCCAAATTTAGAAGCAAAGTACATGATGGTATGATAACCTCATCAAATTATTATTTTTGGCTACATACTAAAAACTCATTTATTTGATGTATTTGATTTGTTGTCATTTGATTATATGACGATAACCTAAGATTGAATCTAAATAACGTTTTGATAACGATGTTATTTTATACTTGAAATTAATATATAAACCAATATGTGAATTTGGAGTCATGCTTTTATTTTAAAAAATTAAGTAAATGTATTTCATTTTAGAATACAAAATCTATTGAACTACCTTAAAAGCTGCAGTATCTTATTTGAAACTTGTGTATTCAGATGTGCAAAGTTTTTGAGCTATAAGATTGATGCTTAGAGCAAAAAATCATATCTTATGGTCCATGTAACCTATATACTATTGACATATATCATAAGTTAATATTGGGCGTATCATATCATACGTATCATTGTGACAATATTGGGCCACAATCCCAGTTTTTGATGTTTGCATGTCTTGATGGGATGTTCACAATATCTTTTAGCTATTCATTTCTTCCTTCCGCCCTCTGTAATATACAGTGAATGATGAGTCATAGTTCATGTACACGTAGTACGAGTCATATTCGTTTCCTTTCACTTGCAGCTACTTATGATGCATATTGCTGAATTTCAGGATATTTTTCACTTTCCAGTGAAGATTGTCTTTTCATCATCACTCTGAAATATGGTACAGACGCTGGTGTGGAGGATATATACTTTTGAAACTTAGAAAATTTCTGACGGTTGACTTTCATCCTCTTGTATTCATATCTTTGGGAACTCGCGCGAGGTTCAGTCTTGCAAGAAAGAGATCTACATCATGCAGAGAACGATCTTCACAGTGGTGTAAGCAACTCTGTTGGTGCACTCACAATTTTCAATTTCCACGCCTCGCTGTGTGCTGAATAGATATTCGACGTGTCACAAAGTTCATGACGATGAATGTCAACGATGATGTATGTTGATATTTCTTTTAGAGGTGACTGACCTTTGTACTACTTCTGAAGATTTTTCCTTTTATTTCAGACGATTGGGCAGCGCAGACTGTTCATCTTCGATCGACTGCTGGAGTGAACCGTATTTTCGTCTACATATATATACCAGAATAGATGCAAGGGACATAGTGATCAGATGTCGTCATATGACAATTTGAAGAAGTTCTGGCAGTTTAACTACCTTTCTTCGTGCTTCAATTTTGGCGAGGTGTGGAAGGAAAGACACAGCCCGGATAGTTAGATCCATGTGCATCGCAATGACAGAGACAAAGGTTGGAGAGAACCGTGTCCGTCGAAGGTCTTCGTTTATTGTGCTCATGCTACATTACTACACTTGCAAGATGCTAATTAATGAAGCTTCTTTCGTTGGAATCTGCCTTCTCCCAAATACTCGTACTGTAAACTCTGCATCTCACATATGTTTTAACTCCATGAATACAGTGATCGTGTCAGTTCCAAGCACGACCCTACTTCAGGCTTTCCACTTTCCTGAGTCTAAAATCCCTCAGAACATAACTCCACAATCACGAGCTGCACGGCAAGCATGCATATTTGTGTTTATCTTCTAGTTGTCAAGACAGCTCATCGATCTACATACATGCATGCGGGACAAGGCCGTTTTGGGTCACCAGTAGCCGTCCTGTCAATCGCCCCACCACTCGTACCTTTCGCAATTCCATGTACAGGCTAAAGTCGTTCCCAGCACAACTGTCTATTACTGCCAGGAACTTTCCGATCCTGAGGGCAACAAGGTCAGAATGTGAAGATTTTTTATGACGAGTGCTTCCAGAACTTTATACCGCAGGTTTCATACCCATTCAAGCATGATGATGTGTGATTGCTAACACCTAAACGAGCTTCTTCTCATCCTGGTCTCAGCAGCCGACCTCCTGACCATCCACCTGTCGACTGTATCATCATATCCGCTTTATCCACAAGTGTGATCTAAATTCCAGAACGACTTACTAACAAACATTGCAAAGTCCAAATTACATTAAAAAAGATTCCAAAGACAAGGCCGGACCTTTCGCTTAACGTTCCTCAAGAAATACCAGCGGTAATCGTCGAGATGGCGATCCCTGTTGAGCTCTCTTACTGTTAACAAGATCAATCAATTCAGAACAAAGCTTGATACCTGAATTGTCATCAATCTTGGAAACTCCACCACTTTCCATCACTTCCGGATTCTCATCTCTACAGTACATCCAGAACTGTACTCGACAGTCCAGCAAGACTCACCGACTGACCCGTTCAATTTTCACGCCGCAACCTTTCACGTCACTCACACAAATGAAGCTGCAGCTTAAACTTGGCATTCCACCAAAAATATAAAAGCGATTCTCGTCATGAGACTTCTGTACTCTGTTTTTCGTGACCAAATGGACAATTCAAAACAAAAAAACTGACGTCTTTACTAAGATCACTCTCGCCCAACTGATAAGACGGAACGAAATAAATAGTCACAAGGTAGTTCTGATAGTATACAAACCCCAAAATTAAGTCTATCGAAATCAGAAAAAAATACAAACAACAAAGGATTACGAATGTAAGCACTCTCAGCTCCATGCATGACATTACTTGTCTAGAACATCACCATGCGACGAACCTCATCCTAGTCAAACGAACTAAAAGGTGAAGACGCCATGAACTCCAAACTGTAAACACGCACTTACAGTACCAGGTTAACGGCGAGGCATAAGAAAAAACACCTGAGACGCCGAGTGCAGAAATCTAAAGCTATGACAGTGTGACCGAGCCGCTCATTAACGAATCGAAATCACGAGACGAGGAACAACGCGTGCAGTACACTCCGAACGGCTTCATGAAAATGGGGTCCAGACAGCATAAGTAACGGCTGAATAACGCAGCCACTAATCTGTCATCACATTCACCCTTCCATTAACGATCAGCAGCTCATTGAAGCAAGTTGCATGTTCATGCGAACGCTCGGCAAATTCGTTCACCTGAAAAAGCATTCCCATACAAGTACGACTTCAACAACAACCACGGTACAAATCTGTTGACACGGAGAAACAGAAGACTATCAAATGCAGCTCCTTGACGCAAGTTGAATGTTCATGCGAACGATCGGCAGATTGGTTCACCTAAAAAAGCATTCTCATACAATTACGACTTCGACAGCAACCACGGTACAAATCTGTTGACACGGAGAAACAGAGGACTATGAAATGGCTTCAAAACCTGCAGACAGAGGCAGCACCGACAAGGTCCGTGAGCCAGGGACACTTTGTTTGTTGCAGGCTCCACGTAAGCATTTTATGTGCTCGTCAGCCAAAAGGACACCACGCAAGGCTTGTCTTATTAGGTTCCAAGTGTCCACGTCATGAAGCATGATGTCACGTAAGCGCTGAATGTGATTTGTCAGCAAGAGGGTTTTGCTTAGGGTTAGGGTTCTTCCCCACTTCTTGGGAGCTCTGTTCGATGCTTCCTGGGGCAGGGAGACAGGTTTACGAAATCTTCGTTGTGAGAAGTCAGAAAATTATGGACAGCAGAAAGGCTCAATTTTGACAGTAGGTTATTGATTTCAAACTTCGAAAGAAGCGATTCTCGTATTGCCCGCTATGGGGGGTAATCAAAAGTCTCAGAAGAACAAGGCTCACAAGACTCGGTTTGCCTCGAAATCTTCTCGGAATGTGCACAAACTTGCTGGTGACGGTGAGAATTATTTTTCTCTCGTAATTCTGAGTTTACGTCGAAACTCTCTCCTTTGCAGTGCAGATGATTCGCGTGCTGTATTAAATTCCCACCTCCTTCTTAGTTTAGTTCATAATCAACAGCGGCACGAACACAGAGGAAATTGTGAGGACAATTTTCAAGGAATTGGGTTTACCTGAATGTGGTGGTGGTAGCCGGTGAGATAAAATGAATTTGGCGTATAGATTCGGGGAACGTTCAAGTGGATCCATGTTCTTGACTAGAACCACGTGGAGTTTCAGTCATAGTATCACTATGTGTTAGGACTCCGCAATTGAATCTGAGGTCCTCGACTAGACGCAAGAAGAGCTTGTACCGTATCGCACGATTAGCTTTACTCTATGAGTGGGGTCCAATTTTGAAGTCTACAAGTCACTGGTCAAATCTGAGTGGAATATCACCATACTCTCATGAACAGCTGCAAATAGGTGACTGAAGTATGAATGAGGTGATCTAGACTGAGGATGGCATTTAGTACAACATGTACGCAATCAATCTAGAGAGTCCACCGCAATCAGGACTGCGTTGTGTGCTTCACTTTGGCGACGTTTTCGAATTCTTTCGGCTATATATCGTTCAATTCAAGAAGTGAATTATTTAAAACCCGAAGGTTTCTCAAAAGGTTTCTTTCTCAGTGCGCTATTTTTGCGTTCCATATTCTCTATCCGAAATTTCAAATGGCTTGCTCTAACTATGTCAAAAACTAAACGGCATTCCTGTGCAGCTCCGAAAAGCCGTGGCAAAGTGGCAGCTCGTGTACCATCGCATGGCCAGCGTGCGAAGGATTTGAGACACCAACGAACTAAAAATGTCAGTACTTGATTATGACTGAACTTTCCATCTCAGTTGTTTTCTTGTTGTTTTTTTGAATGATATGAAAGGCTCTGGTCAGTTATTGCTTGAGTGGGTTAGCCCTGAACACTTCAATAGTTCGCTGATTCACAGTGACGAGGGTGTTTGATGCAGATTAGAGACCAAAAGCGCGCAAGTCTTCTTGCAGAGAAGCGTGCGAACAGTGGAGCGTTAGCGTCCCCTCGTATCCTGGTCAGTACTGTTGTATTTGATCAGCAGTAGTTTCTTACTTTTCTGCCTGTACTCGTTTCTGATGATTTTCCATCAAACGTTCTAAGGAATCTCAATTGTTGTTGTCGTAACGTATCGATGAAGTTTTCTTTCTCAGTGTGCTGTATATGCGCTCCATTTTCTCTATCCAGAATCTCATATGTCTGAATCATCATGCTTCTGTCAAAACTATATTGTTGTCCGTGCGACTCGTCTTCTTGTCCTCTGTTTAGTTAAAAAGTGCCGGTTAAACATTAATAGGTACAGCTGCCAAGTCGTCTGCCTCCTAATTCTTTTGCATCTTTGTGAATTCTAATTACTTGCCCATTTCATTTGGGTCCGTATACTTCACATTTCAATTCTCCTCTATATTTCAAGAGCATGTCTTTCTTCTCGATCTCTCCAGGTTTCGCTGTCTTGATTATACTTGGACCGGAGAAAATATGATATATTTTACGGTTTTTGGGTTTCCAGGCTATCGTCGCTCTTTCTCCCAAAGTCGATGTGCAGCTGCTGAAGAAGTGGATTGCGTCCACTGCCTCGACAGATGAGAAGGACCTTGCAAATGGGGTTTCTGATGATGTTATGGAGACTGAGCAAGTGGTTACTGTGGAATCAGGTCCAGTCACTGTTGTGGTTCCACGGTACAAGTCCAGATTCACAGTGAGTTTTTCATGTAGTGCCATTAAAAAATTATTAGCTGTTTGAATGTGCTGCATATTCATACTGCTTGGAAGATGAATATGAAAATTGGTTAGTGATTGTAAAGTATGCATTGTATCAGCTTCTACTCCAGCTTCCCTAGTTATTTAGTGTTTTCTCATTTTTGTTACCTCTCTTCCAGGACATGTGCCTCCTTTTCTATCATTTTTCTTCGTCCTTCTGGTCAATAATTCAAAATATAGTTGGACTAAATTTTCTGGTGGCTCCCCACAAGAAAACCACCGCAGTATGCTCTGCTCTCAGTAAAGGTCGTATTTGTCTTCGGCGTGTATACTCGTTTTGGGATCACCTCAGATTTTTTAGAGGATCCTTATGGTTCAAACTTGTTTAGTGTGGAGATGTTGAACTAATTGGAGTGTCCTGATAATTGCTGTCAACGTTCTGTAGGTTATTGAAGCACCTCGTGATGACCTCCAAGCCTGCCTTGAAGTCTCGAAGGTAGCGGGTTACACTTAGTTTTGGTTCTTCTATTATGTTCTGTAGTTTATGGATATGTTTTGTCGATTCCATTCTTTTACTTGTGAATGAACTCATTGTCTCTTCCTTCTGTTCGTTTCTTAATACAGCGGCTTGTGTTTGCACTAAATTTAATGCCTGCACTCTCCTTCCTGCGTATACAGGTGGCAGATATTGTCGCCTTCGCAGTACCTGCAGAAGACGCAGAGTACATTGACAAAGTGGGCAAGTCTCTGCTTTCTATGTTGCGAGGCGCAGGGTTACCCAATTGTACTGGATTTGTTACGGTAATGATCTGAATATGTTCGCAGATTCTTATCGTGAATCTCATTTTTTTCGCATCTGAAAGACCGGAAGTTTTTTCTCGTCTTTTGAATTTGTTTGACATAATTCTTGTATCATAACAGGGTTTGGCGGGAGTGCCTGACAAGAAACGACCTGATGCTAAAAGGGCTGCTTCTGCGGCTTTGATGACAGAGCTTCCCGAAGATAGCAAATGTTTTGGAACAGAAACTGTAGATGACTTTCAGCAGGTATATTTTTGAACCCAATTCGTCATTCTTAATAGATCGTTGTATGAACATAGGGTCACTTCGGCCTGAACGGGAAGACATTCCATGTTGGGGTTTCAAATTTGCACAATTATTCTTTGCCATCTGGGTAGGAGGCGCCAGCTGCAGAGGAGAAAATTTTAGAGAATATAGCGTAGACACAGACGCACTAAATATTACACGGATTTCGTGATGAAAAACGAATGACTGTATTAAAAGTATGTTTCTGATGATTTACATCTCAAGCATTCGTGAGGCCCTTCCAGTATCTCCTGAGGCTGAAGCTCTTACGTGTCTGAACTTTGTGAATTTAGTTTCAACTTTTAGATTCTAGGAAATATGGGGAGTTGCCATGCTAATTTTTCATTTCAATCTACAGATGATGCGCCACCTTGCTGAGCAACGCCTTTCGGAACCGAAGTGGCGAAGCGAAAGGCCGTACATTGTAGCTCAAGAGGTACACTTTATTCATCCTGTTTACTGATTTTGAACGAGAATAGAAAGTTGAGATGTGCGTGTCTAATGTTAAGTTGAAATCTGCTTCTGTATTTTACGAGACAATACTACCTTTGTTCAGTGATTTTTGAGTAACTTCTTGCTTTGTCTCGGACTTTGACATGCGCAGCTTACGTTTTCTCCAACTTCCTCAATGTCAGGAACATTGGTTCTCTCCGGATATATTCGAGCTCGAACTCTGTCCGTGAACCAGCTGGTAAGATACTGGTTGCAAGTTGATATGGGTATAGGAATATTATGTGGGTGTCCGTGTACTTGAAATGTTCTATTATGTTATGATCTTGGTTATATTGAAGATTTACGGCGTCGATGATGCATCCCTATGACGTTGATGTTACAATTGAAGCACACATGGGGTTCCTTACAGGCACAAACGAGGACAGAAATAGGAATTTAGGTCATTTCCTTTATTCCTACGTGATTGAATCACCGACGCTTTTAACATGCTTTCTAACGATTATCGTTATTTTTATGCATCATGTTCATGTCAGGTACACGTGGCTGGAGTTGGTGACTTTCAACTGAGTCAAGTTGACGTTGTAGAAGATCCCTCACCTCTTCGCCCGCGTCGTAAACAAGCTGGTGAGGGACAAATGGTCGTTGAGAATTCCGAGGATCCAACGGTAAGATTTGGAAGCCAAATATGTGAGGACATGGCAACGTGAGTTGATGTACCACTTTAGATGTTTGAGATGGACACGTATCTAATAACATGCGTTAAGCGACATCTGATGAAGAGCAGTAAAATGAAGTTGTGAGTCTCCTCCCGTACTAATGAATGCTCCAATGTCGACCTCTACCCATGTCAACTTGCAGCCAGGATCTTACCAGTTGATTCACATGCAGAGTTATTCACAAAGGGACTTACTTGTCGACACGTTGGTCTATATGGTGTGATTGTTATTTCTTTTCGGTATCATCCAAAAGTTGATACATTTTGTGTGTATTACTATTGTTGGATACAGGGATTTACTTCTGTGCAACCAGATCCCGAAAGTCAGGAGTCTGTTGTCGTGGAGAACATTCCTGACACTTTAGCTGGCGAGCAGGTAATCTTCGCAGCTGTTTTTTCTGAGTGTTGATGCTTGATGTTAGCTTTCAATTTTTTTAGTGTAATTATTTTTGCTGACATGCCGGAACTACAGTGCAATATTATTCCCATCACACGTCAGTCACACGGTGGGAAAGTTCATAATTGACCAACACATAAACTTCTCGAGTCGCTAATAGTATGATGCAGAAATATCGTGGCTGTTTTGTCTTCGTCGTCAAATGGTTTTCGCAGTGTCGTGACGAAGAGGCTTAAGCACCGTGTGCATCTTTTAAGTGATGATAATGTCTATGCAGACTTGGCCTACGGAGGAAGAGCTAGCGCAGGCTGGAGAAGAGAACAACAAAAAATCCAAGAAGAGGTTATTGCCTAAAGGAACATCTGAATATCAGGTAGTTGATTTTCTGAGTTTTGAGTCATCATTTGAGTTGATCAGGTTACATGATGTCTTTTGTAGCTTTGTCCTTCAAAGTAGCTCTTTAAATATGCATCAAACGAGGCTAGTACTTCGCGAGTACCTTAGTCTTTGTAACCTAGGTGAAATTGGAGACAGCCGCCTCTCAGTTCCCGGTTTCAGGGCAAGTCATTATCTATTTCGACGCTAGCTCATTCTCCAAATAAACTCTGTTGCATGGTTTCAACATACAGCTGAAGTAACTTTACCTCGACCGTCTGCTGGCCGTTATCTACGGTGCAATGGAGTTGGGTGGTTTTTGAGTTCACAGCACTTAAATATGTATTTGATATTGTGATTTTATCCTCTGAAGTTTCATTCTTTTTGTGATTGCAGGCTTCATGGATTGTCGAAGACTCAGACGAGGAACATGATGAAGTTGAAGATGACGGGGAAGACGGCGTAATGAAGGCAGCAAGCGACGATGACGACGAAGATAAAGATGAAGAGGGCAGTGTAATATCAGAAGACGACGTACATGTTGACCTTAAGCCAGAATCTGTTTGGGGCGATGACGAAGATGATACTCAAAGCGAAATGATGGTGAGCTCATAGCGCTTTGATTCAAGCTGTTTCCGAAGATCACTGTGTGAAAGTTCCACATGTGGTGTCCGACTTTGGTGTCTCTCTTTACTTTCCTGCCATTTCGTCTCTAGAGCAATAGAATAGCAGGAAATGATTCTCTTTTTTGCAAGATCATCTGAGCGAAGTGTACGCTCAGCATCATGTTGAAGCCGGCTGGTTCTCATGTTGATATGTCCATTCTTTGTGTACAGGACGATGACGACCTAACTCCAGCACAGAGAGCTGCGGAGATCCAAAGGCTTAGAGCTTCTCATGCAACCGATGAAGGTAAAAGAACGATGCTGTAGAGTAAGGAGACTTTAGTAATTGTGACAGTCACGTATTTTGTTTATAATAAACTTGTTTCTATGGTAGAGATCCAGCCCTGTAACAAGAGCTTTGCGTCTGAGATGTTCCAGAGGGCCGGTTTAAATGCTAATTTAACGCATGCCTCTTGCAGAATTTCCGGATGAGATTGACACACCAATGGACAGACCAGCAAGAGAAAGATTCGCGAGATATAGGGGCCTGAAGTCATTTCGAACTTCACCTTGGGATCCTAAGGTCAGCGGAGAGAGTCATTTGATAATCTCATCATTTGTTAATTTCCTGCTATTAGTTACCTTTTGGCGTAAGCTGATTGATTTCTTCTTGGAACCATGGTGAACAGGAATCCTTGCCTCTGGAGTACAGCAAAATATTTGCCTTTGACAATTTTGCGCGCACCCAAAAGCATGTCTTTTCCAAAGCGGCAGAAAGAGACCGAAAGCACGTGCCGGGCTGTATCGGTGTTCATACCTATGTTAGACTTCATATAAAAGATGTACCTTCAGGAGCCGCAGAACGATTATTGACATCCTTCAGACAAGTTCCCCTTGTTGCATGTGGCCTTTTTCAGCACGAAACGAAAATGTCCGTTTTGCATTTCAGGTATGTGTTTTCATTTCGTGTGTTTTTTTACTTTCAGTAACCAAAAGGGTGAGTTTTTATGATAGTAATTTTCATCGGTTTTTCTGCCTGTTTTCTATATTTTCTCTTTCCTTGAATTCTCGTTTCTCAAAACATATCTGCTATCTGCAACAGCATCAAGAAGAGTGAAGGATGTACCGAAGCAATCAAGTCCAAAGATACTCTTATTTTCCACACAGGTTTTCGTCATTACACCACGAGGTACAATTACTCTTACTGGCCATTTTCTCTCGGCTTTGGTGATTCCTGCGTTAATTCATCGCTCCAAAATCAACACCATGTAGTTCGTTACATGACCTATTTTCAGTGCGTTTGTATCTGGATGCCCAGGTCATACTTGTCTAACTGGTATTTCAACTATGAATGCAGACCCATATTTTCCACCGATGATATGAATATGGACAAACATAAGTATGAAAGGCATCTGCGTCAAGGGCAGTTCTCCATAGCCACGGTTTTCGCTCCCGTCACTTTCCCCCCGCATCCCTTAGTGGTATTTAAGGAATTTCCAGACGGCATCAAGCTCGTTGCCTCGGGTTCTCTCCGCAGTGTTGATCCTAATCAGATCATCCTGAAGAGAATTGTCCTTTCTGGGTGAGTTGCTTCACTTTTTCCACGTGATCAAATTTGATCTGTGGACACACCTGCTTGTCCGTATTACTCTGCTTCGGAGTGTATGCTATCTTATGTAATTATTTGTAGCAATCAAATCAGTACAAGTACTCACGTGAAACTAATGCAGTTATCCTCATCGAGTCTCGAAACGGAAAGCTGTCGTGCGCTTCATGTTCCACAATCCCGAAGATGTCCGATGGTTTAAGGTATGTTGTTCATTAATATATCCCATCGAAACTGCCTGATGAAACTGGAAGTCCTTGTTAGTTTTGAGCACGATTGGTCTCCAAACCAGGAGTTCGGGCTTTGGAATTTGCAGGTTAGAGTTGTAGGTGTCACCGAATACTGGTCAAGTTAAACTGACTATGATTTGTATTCTTATTTCTCCCCTTTGTCAAACGCCAACGCCGCTTCGGTTCATAGGCTTCCTTTCCGCATCTTAGCTCCATATTTTCTTATGACTGGTGCAGCTCCCATGCTTGTGCAACTAAACCCTAAATTTCCTCTCAGCCCTTTGCCTAGTGCAGGGCAGCGCCAACTTCAGCCCTTTTTTCCACAGACACTGACCACTTTGTTTGCTGTCACTGTTTCTTTCGACAACTCTCCTGTTTTTACTGAGTAATTTTCGCAGAATAGAGGGTGTGTTCTAATTTATCATGATACATCGCAGTTGTTTTGTAAGGAAGCTAATTAAACAATGTGACTTTCTTTTGACATCAGCCTTTGGAGTTGTGGACGAAGTATGGTCGACGAGGAAGGATCAAAGAACCTGTCGGCACTCACGGTAAGCGATACTGTCGACCACGGGTGTTTGAGTTCCTTCATTACGGAAGATTATCTGTTGTGTGAATTCATTCAGGCTTAATGTAGACAAACCTTCCAAGACGAAAGTTTGATGACACGTGTTGTGAATTTATCTAATGCAGGGTCAATGAAGTGTGTATTTGACGGAGTAACGCAACAGCGTGATGCGGTTTGTGTTAGCTTGTACAAGAGAGTATATCCCAAATGGCCATCATCTTGAAGACATACGACCTTAACGGAGATTTGAACCAAATTTTTTCCGAGCCTAAGAAGCTCGAGTTCCCTGAGAATTAGGTTGCCGATGGCCACTCAAGTAAAATCAAACCGAGATTTTTGCTCCGTGCTTGTTATGAAATTTGTGGCAACTGCAGCGAGTACAAACCGAGATAAATGTCGGCCTTGTTCGTCGCGGGACATGTTGATTGCAAGTTTACGATCAGGTTTGAACCAATTTTCCGAGTCTAATAAAAGCTCGAGTTCCCTGAGAATGAGGTTGCTGAGGGCTACTCAAGTGAACTCAAACCGATTTTCTTGCCCCGAGGTTGTCAAGAGTTCTGTGGCAAACTGCCGCGAGACTGAACTGATCGGCCTAGTCCGTCGCGGGGACTTGTTAATTGCAAGGCGATGATAAGGTTGAAGCACTTGGGAGCCTTTGTTGTCTGGTGATTCAAGGGAATCAGACCGTGACCTAAAGGCTGCCATCTCCTGATGCCACTGACGGTCAGTAACATATATTCTGAGCTGTCAACACGGGTAGTGAGATTGCGTAGTGTAATATATTAGACGTAATCGATGACAAACAGATTGAGTCACGCCAATTCGTGAGATTATTTATAGAAATAAAGAGTTTTCTTTAATGTTTGAAATTCACGACTTGGCTTTAAAACTGCTTTATTACAGTTTTCTTTCTGTATCTGTGAAGGACAGAACTGTATTGCATTGTCCTTATCGTACTAATATTTGGCTTATTCTAGACCGTGCACTGGTCTTGAAGTAAAAATTCGAAAAGTAATCCTTCGAAAAGTGGCATAGATGTGAATTATAAAATGTGATTTGCCAAGTTTTTCCGAGACAATTTTTCTACAAAACAAGTTTTGAAGAGATTACAACTAGGCACAGATCCATTGTTTTCATCGCCTTCTGTGGCCAGTAGGGACCGACGCGTAATTTGAAACCCCATCTTACGAAGTACAGGCGATGCACATAAATTCTGATGTGGGCGGTGGCTCAGTAACAAGCGATTTCTTCTCTCAATCGGACATCAGTGTCCTGCCCAACGGAGCTGCATGTATTTTGTACGGCTGCCAACGGTGCTGTTATTGGCAACATCATGATAAACATATTTATCGAAATGTCCCCAAACCTGCACACGAGTTGCTTCTCTTGACGGTAGATTCCATCGGATGATAGCAGGGTGTTCAAAGCATTGATGGAGTGAAGGCAATGCCCTGAATCTACAAATACAGTTGGTGAAGGTTCATTTGAACAATTTTTAGTTTAGCTTCAGGCTTGAATCTGAAGCTCATATTTTGAAGTGCGGAAGCACTCTTGGAAACAAGCAAAATGGGCTGATAACTATTGCTAATTTAATACTTCAAATAACAATTGGCAAATAAAAATTTAAAGCAATTGTTCTATGTCCAAAATTTGTGAAATTCGTGTATTTAGCAGATTTGCGGTTGGAAGTAAATATAGCATGTTGTTTGTAAATTTCTTGTATCTGAAACTTTGTGAAATAAGTGAAATTTATCATGGAATAATAAATTCTTTATGCACATGCTTATGAAGTTTAAATTGCAAAATTTGTACATTGAAGGGTGCAAAACTTAAATCAAAGAGTAGTAATGGCAATTTTTTCCCATAATTAAACTCACTAGGTATTGATATGAATTTCTGGTATATTGGTATATACGTTGAGTCATAAATCAAGAAATGACATCTTATCACTAGAATTCACATAAGTAGCCATTGTGTTTAGTGAGCATATGGAGATAAAGATGCAAAAAAATTGTAAAATTACAATACTTGAAAAAATATACAACACAAAAATTTGAACTATTACCATAGAGATTGTGGAACTTCATTGGTGAGAATTTGTTAAAAACATGACATATGATTATTAAATTTTTATAATCTACATTCAAATTAGAAGTAATTGAAGTTTTTGAAAGAGTACAAGAGGTCTAAGATGACAAACAGTATCAAGCTCATGCAGGATTAAATGAAATTCCACTTTACACGTGAATACAAATGCAATTCAATCCTCAAATGTTTTCTTCAATGCGCATATTATTGAGTACTTGGAGTCATACTTTTACTAAAATATGAGTAACAATGTTTTAGAATAAATAAAAAAGATAATCTTAGACAACACAAAAATATACTAGTCGTTACTATAAATCCTAGCTTTTGGCTCAAATATTGAAACTCAACTTACGTTGGCTATTGAAGAGTATGGAGCATTGCAAGAGGTGCTGAAACTAACACATGTAATGTTGATCAAAAGGACTAATTTTGATCAAGGTCAAAAAAAATGTAGGAATTTAAAGAGATATAAAATGGAGATGAAAAGATTCACTTTATCAAACAACACTAGGTACAAACTCAAATATTTGAAAGAGCAAGATGACGGTCTTGAAGTCTAGAGTAGTAGAATATGAAATAGTCAAGTAAGATGGATGTGATAACAATCGATTTTACCAAATAAAAGTCTAAGAAAAATCACCTATGGATCTATGCAAGACATTGAAGACAAAATCTTCCCACTACAACAAAAATAACTGGACAGACCTTTAAGAGTAGATTGTGAATATTGTCATATTGCATTTTGTAGCTTTGATTTTGAAGCAAGTGGATGAGTATGATTATTGTATTGTGTTGTTTGAGGCTCTTCAAAAAGCAACAATTTTAACAAAAAAAGTTACAAAACAAATTGTATGTTTTCTTAAGAATGACCAGCTTGAAAATGAAAAGTTTTGGCATCATCAAGATCATATGATGCATTTGATGATTTTTTCATTGATCTTCAAGATCTTGAAGAGTAGAGAAGTGATGAGAAAAAAGTTTTGCATCTTTTGTTCTCATCATTCATTTTTTATCAATTATTGTCATATTTTTTGCTTCATTGAAAATAACAAAAATCTTAATCTCAGGTTGTAAATGCTTTGTTGACTCAACAAACATTGATATTGTACTTTCTTTCATACTCTTATTCTCATATGGCACTTAATGTGATTAAATATTAGTTATATTTACGGAAAAACAAAGATAACAAACGAAGTAGATCTAGGTGTAAGTGCAAATCTAGAGAGAAAGACATTAGTTTGTTAAAAATATAACAAACACCATCACGTCAAGAAAAAAATTTATGTGAAGATGAAAGTTGTTGATTGTTCATTATCTAATATGATTCAAGAGTTTGATGTGAAAGAAAATGATTTGCTTAAAGATGATCTATGTTGCAAAAAGTACATCATATGTAACTCATCAAGGAATGTTAGTGATGCATGAATTCTAAATATTGTTTGTTTGTATCATATTGGTTATATTCAAGAATTTTTTAATACTTTTTTATTATCATACGATTCCTTTTTAATTGGAAATAATTAACTTGTAGAATCAAAATTGTTGAATCTATTAAAAAAAAAATATTTTTGATTGAGTTCAACATACAAAAATTTAAATTTTATTTATACGTCATATGATAAAAGAAATTGTTTCATTTTGTAATGTTAGATTTAAAAGACCTTGAATGAAGCTTCAAGAAGAAAATGTTGGAGGTGAAAATGCGTGATGAAATGATGTTGAAAATTCACAAGCACAAAAATCTATACATGCTAAATAGCATTATCACATGAAACATATTAAAATATGTTATGTGTATGACAATCTAGCTAGATTATGTGAATATTATGTCTTTAACACTTCTTGACAATAGAGTTGGTTATTTGACATAGTTGAAGTTGACTTAGAGTTGTATATACATTGTTTTATCACAACAATTTGTCTGAATTACAAAGTCTAAATATATTCCAAAATAATTGGATTATGTTTTTAGTGCAATTATATGTTTGAAAGCTAAAATTTTACTTTTTTGCATATTGAATATTTCATTGTTGAAATTATATGGCATAATATTAGATATATTTTCAACAAGCTAAAATTTGACATATAATTAAAATAATTCTTTATACTTTTATCATTTTTTAGTAATACTACGATTATTTATGTAATATTTAATTTTCATAAGAACGAAAGAGAAAAAATGATTAAAAATATATGATTATTAATATGAAAAGCTAAAAATTTTTGTGAAAATATTTTTATTGTGATAAAAATTTGAAACATATAGAAATAAATGACTTTATCAAAAAAATATGTTCATTTAATCTAATTAATGGAAAAAATATTGTAAGAAACAAATCAATATTTTTAAATCAAAAATTAACAAAATTAACATAACACTTTATCTTCATGCTAAAAAACTACAATGTAAAAAAATTTTATGAATATTTACACATTTCAGCTTTATAAATATTTTAGTTTCACTTTAATACCTATAAATTTCATCTTAGTTGAATAATTTTAATCAATGATGATTATTCTTAATAAAAATAAAAATTAATTTGTGATTCATATCAGTATGATTCATGATTTTTATTTTCAATAAAATCTGATCAAATTATATAATAAATATTTATTACAAAATGTTTTATATTGAAAAATATAATTTTTTATGTGTTATTAAATAATAATAATAATAATAAATATATGATTTATACTTGATATATTTTACAAATATTATTATCACTTATATCGTTTTAAAAAAAGTGTAGCTTCAAGTCACACCATTGGTGCTAACTATGTTGACATATCCTCGTTAGAATCTATTAGAATCTACCACCCTAATGTATCTGGATACTCATATCATCTCAAGCATATTCTACATAAGCTTCTTCATAAATCATACTCTATTATGGAAATTCGTCCACCAACTCATTTATCTCAAGTATAAATAAATGATAGTTTATATTTAATTGAAGGAATAAGTATAAAGTGTGACTGTGTCTTATTATGGTTATTACTATTTTTTATTCTTATATTATTCTTAAGCTGGATGAGACTGGCGATAAAGAACAGATGTGAGATTTATGGCCAGTATGAACATCATTTATGGCCAGTATATAGTTCTTTGTACCTACGATAGATGTGAATTTCGTAGGTTGAATTGATTCAAGTTTTTCAGAAAATCATATTACTGATGTAAGATCAATTGAATCTTCTTTAGATATTTTTTCCTTATAAATGCTTAACATACTAAGAGTAAGTGTTTTATTTAACCTTGACAAATCGGACAAAATCACTTTGAAAATAATTTGTTTGAAGTGAGAATGCATTTTTCAGTTGGGTAGAGGTTTCTAACATGAGATTTATCTTTCTTCGAAGTCCCCATAGGTTAGAACAAATCTATATTTGATCAACTCTGATCTCCATCTCCTCGGTTGTCATTCATTACCAGTGTGAATTCAAAAAGATTTCAATACGTAGGATTTGGAAAGCGTAGTATCGAAGTCATGTATTGCACCATGGAAACTGTTTTATGAATCTTTGCATTTGTCGTATCCTCTGTACTTGTAGTATGATTCTTTCAAACATCTAGCATCCAAGACATGTTTATGATTCTTCAAATTTAGAAGATACAAATTTCGTGTGAGCATTTCATGAGCTTCGTGTTCCTTTTTATGATTGAATCTAGATGGAAGTGTTACTCTATATCTTTACAAGATTACCAGTAATCAAGATTCTAACAAATGTTCTTGAAGCAGGTACAGGAATTCTTTTCAAACTGTTCATACGCGCTCCAACGTTTATGACGAGCACCGTTACTCCGAGTTTCTTAGTGCTCATAAGCCAGCCACAGTCAAGAATGTGTTGCATACTCTTGAACAATCCACATCGAGCTCATGCTGTGTTCACGGGATTTTGAGACTGCACGAGAGCTACAATCGTTCCAACTCTGTCCAATTTTATCGGTACGTGCATGACATCCATTGTCTCTAATATTGAATACTACAATCTCATTTGATGTTCCTTTGAAGCTTCATGTTTCGATCGATCAGTTGCTTTGAGAATTTTGGCTGAAGTACTAGGACTTCTCGTATTTTCCATGGCTATGACGGTATCGTTCATTACATAGCCTTCGTCAATGAAGTGTACTACTTTTATTCAACTTCTTGTTGAATGAGGAATTTCGACTCTTTTTAAGGGCAGATTGAAACGAAAGAGTTACATTGGCGAAAGCATCAACGAAAGGCCTGTGCTTTCATGGTTTCTTTTATCAAGATTTCAGAGAGGAGGATGTGAAATCAATATCTTGAAGTTTTTGAGCATACTAGAAATGCCACCTTACATATAAACATGATGTCGTTTGTGTTCGAAACTAGTATCCTTGTTTAATCAGCTTGTTTCCTCTCCATCTAGCAAGGCGGCAGGTGGTACTTGAAGGAAATATGTGTTTTCCAAAACAAAAATTAAGTTGATAGTAATCTGTTTTATTATATATATCCCTAGGTGTCTAATGAGTGCCATCTGATATATTTAAATGCAGATTTTACCCTCAGTTCTGCGAGACCTTGACGTCATTTGATTGTCCGCTGTAGACTGGAAAACTGTAAAATCTGTTGGGAACATCACCAAGAACTTTGGGGTTACATACCAAACAATGGATCTATATCCCTTAGAGGAATTCAAGCCACCGGAAGTGTTGCCGCCGACTGAGGACGGTAAGGTCCTTGCACCTCCTCAATTGACGGTCGCGTACCTTTGCGGGGACTGTGGAGCGGAGGTCAGACTGAAGCCCAAAGATGTGATTCAGTGCCGTGAGTGTGGATACCGCATTCTATACAAGAAACGGACTCCCAAGATTGTACAGTATGAAGCACGATAAGTACTTTATTCAAGATACCAGCCTTCACACTTCTGTGTTGGAAATATGGGAACTTATAAAGGGGTCCTTAAATGTGGAGATCACGAAGTGGAGGCAATAGCGTCAGTCATTAGTAACGCTATTTCTCAGTATGTTTGTAAGATCATCCGTATATGGATTCCCGTTTCGACATAAGGCCTCAACAGAAGCAGCAAACACCGAGCTTCATCTCTATTCTGCTCTTCTTTATACAGGGCTACTTTTGATGGAGGAATGATGTACGTCACATGTTTTGTTTCTGCTCAATGACATAGTCTGTCATAAAGTAGCGATTTGTAGGAATAAATTACGTCACGTGTCTTAGTTTCTTCTCAGTAAATTTTTCTGTTATAATGAAACGATCTATACAGTATAGCGATTTGTAGGAATAATGTACGTCACCTGTCTTAGTTTCTTCTGAGTCAATTTTTCTGTTATAATGAAACGATCTATATATTGAGTCATAGTAACAAGGTGTGTTAACGACCACCCATATACAATGAACATGGATTCTGAGACTAAGTACATAACCTACATACACTCCAAAGGTATCTTGGAATTCCAAAAAGATGTGGAGTATATTGAGTCAAAGTAACAATGTGTGTTAACGACCATCCATATACAATGAACATGGATTCTGAGACTAAGTACATAACCTACATACACTCCAAAGGTATCTTGGAAATTCCAAAAAGATGTGGAAAGGAGGGAAAGTCCCAACCAGTCGTTCATGGAAGAGAAAGCCGAAGGGTTATTAGGGTGGGGGATCCCCAATACCATAAGATTGGGAAATATATCCTATCATAGTCAGATATCACAACTATCTAGATCACGTATTTCTCGAGAATCCATTTCAAGGATAGTTTTTAAAATACTATCTTTCGTGAGTGTTCTTGTATGAGCGGTAAAGCAAGAGCTTTCAAGTATGGAAATCTATACAAGCTGCGTAAATTACTAGTTACACAATTTTTTTATAAAAAATTACCGTTGTAGTCTAGGTATTCTAGTCTTTCAAGTCAAAGTTTATGTTCATGGCTTTAAATACCTTAGAAGTTAATATAAAAAAGAAATGTACTCTAAAATTTTTTTTGTAAATTTTCAAGCTAACCAATCCTCGTCCACCCATGAAATGAATAGACATCTATATATAAACTGTTTAAAATGTAAGATTGGTATAAAAAAACAACAATATACTGAAACGAACCTATGCACAACTTAAGTTGATGGATAATATTTACTTTCTATTGTCATAAAAAGCATCACACACCTAACACGTTAGCACTTGAATATTCATGGTCCTTCGTGAATGAATATGTATCTTTTCGAATGAACTGGAGTAAAAATTGATAATTGTTGCATCACATCACAAGTATATAATTGTCATGATTATATTCAGTAAAATATATCATTAGGAAAACTCAACTTCATGAACAATTATGCTTGGTTTTGATTATATTTTATAAAGTATGCTTAAAAAAATATACAATATCAAGTAAAATTTCATAGTAAGATATTTCGTTTTCCAAGAAGCAATGACCGCATCTCACTATCATACTCCAAGTGTGATATTTGCAAAATATAATTACTTGTAAATGAATTAGAAATTTTACAAAAAATTTACTGTCATGAAATTTTCTATTACAATTTTCAATATCATCTACAAACTGATTTGACAAATATGTCATTTATAATCAACAAGGATAAATAACACACACTTTTTTATATGCTTGGTTGTACATTCTTATGCAAAAATAGTTGTAAAAAATTGCAAACATAGAAATTAATCCAGTCAAATAAAACTCGTAAAAATAATTTTAAATAAATTTTTGTGTCAGAAAAATCAAAACTTAAATACTACGAAATAATTATATCATAATCATTATAAAATTTTTAAATATTTAGGTGCAAATTTCAAAATATAAAAGAAATAGATTTAAGATAAATTATCAGTTTATGTTTGTGTAAAACTAGTAATTTCAGTAGAAAAAATCAAAAATATTTATATAAAAAATTTTTATAATGAGAAATTTGTTAAAGAATTTTTAAAAAAATATTAATCAATATAAAATCTAACAAATAGCTATGAAAATATTTTTAAAAAATATTTTTAAATAAATATAAAAATATTTTTAAAATCTGAATATTTTTTTCTCTCAAAACATGTGTGTCATTTTTTGATGATGTTCGAGTTGTGTTAGGGTTTAGGGTATTATATATGATATCAATAGTTATATTGTGAGCAACTTGATATTCAATCACAAAGTAAAAAAAAACCATGATGTGGATGAGATACTGCGTTTGATCTTGGAATTGAGATTAATACTCAATTTTGTTGACGTTGTCAAATAATAGTAAAGGAAAAAACACTAACATTAGTGTTGTTCAAACATGTTGAATCAAAGTATGATGCTACAATTCATTTTTACTTAGTAACAATTACTAAAATAAAACAATTATTTTTTGCTTGACGTGTTTTGCAAAATATCATTTTTTATGGCTTTTGAACTCATTGGTCGCACGTATGATGTTTTGGCTAATCTTGATTTGAGTGCGTTTCCGTGATGAATTTAGTAACTTGGTTCAATTTATGTATCTTATCAATATGCAACAAATCAATATCATTGTATGTTGTTCTTGAATCTTTTCTTTAACACTTGATTCGACATCCATTGAAGTATTTCATTCCTTGATATACAATTTTGAAATTTCATTCTCAACTATCATGTCATTGTTAACTTGCATGATCGTGCACTTGTGATGATTGATAGTCATACATGTGATATCATGTTCACAATGGTGAAAAATTTGATAATGCTATGTCTAGATTGGACAATTTGTTTTTTTGTCTTGACGTATGAAAAAATCTATAATATGACAGGATTGGTTATTGATGTTGTTATTCATTCTAATGCCGCAATGCATAACGATTGTTTTTGGATTTGAATTTGGTATGAAACTTATAAACTAAATTTTTTTTATGGAGTAAATAATGAACAATGTCATCAAAAAATAATTTTCTTCACTCATGATTGATTTTAACATTAATTTAACACGGTAGTAAAATTTGATTGTGAAAATGCAAAATACATGTCGTCATGTTTTCAATTGTTATTTTTGGTTTAAAAAAATCATCATTTGGGTCAAAATCCATTGGACACAATTGTTTGTTTATACGAATCAAAGCAAAGAGCTTTTGCTCCACCTTGACTTGACTTTTTTCTATGTATCATTTCAACACTCAAACAGCTGTAGCTTTTTGTTTTATTCAAGTATAGATTATTCTTATGCTTTAGCAGCAAAATGATATGGCTTACCTCATCGTAAAATTTTTGATGTTAGATTGACTTATACATTCAATTAGGAATCAATTGAGAATAGTGATCAATGGAGTCAAGTCTTCGGTAGTCAATATGTAGTTACTATGTTCAATGTTGGAAAATTTCATTTTGATCTTGCTTTATGGGTTAACATATTAATTAAGAAAGTCAATGAAAGCGGTCAAGATAATTTCAACACAACATTGACCTTGTTTATGTCACTCCATGTTATCAAATTATGCTTCTCAAGATCTGAGCAACAATGCGATGGCTGATTTTGTTTCTATATTTTCAATGCTACCACATGAACTCGTCAAGCTATTTACAATCAACTTTATCCAAAAGATTTGACAACATGTTTTTTGATTGAAACATAGTTATTCATCATATCAAATTAATCTCATATTGGACAAACATAAAGTCTATGCTCATACATATGACCAAGTGAATAAGAACGTCGTCAATTTGCTTTTCAATAATTCAAGTTTTAAAGATATCTGATTTTAATTTGGTGCTCAATTATCAAATTTGATGAAATATCGTAGTGTAATGTTGCAATGTTTTTTCCTTTAACCATTATTCTAAAGTTTGACTTTTTAATCTAGTGCTGATAGAAGAATTTTTTTTGCAAATGTTTATCAACTTTTGGATTAGAATTAATCATGGAGACAAAACAATTATTGTTCATAAACATTTCCACCATTGATAAATGCTAATTAATAATTTTATGCTAAAAGTTGTTTCAAATAATATTTCTTGATGAGACTCATTTATGTTAATTTAGACAATTGACTAATGTAAACATGACTGATTCTAACAATTCAGATCATAAAAATTGATGCATTCATAAAGTCATGAAACTAAATGTGATATAATGTAAATGGAATATAAATCTATACAGATGAAACAACTTATAAAATTGAAGATTGATATTTTTATAGCTGTCAATAGTTGATTAAATATTTGTTTTCAAATTTTTTTTTTCATTTCAATAAACATCAACAAAGTATTTTCTCAAAGTATAAATGTCACTAGATTTGAAATATATTATACAATTCATAATAATATACTCTTACTTATATGTTAAAATAAAATAATAATTGATTATTGATATCAAAATCTAAAATTAAAATGAAATTGTTGAATTCATATATTAATTCATCAATTTTATAAAATCAAGAAAATCTTAAATTATTTCAGATTGCAATAAAAATTGTATGTGGTATAAAATTACATGTTTCATATATTATTTAAGTTTACATACTATTAGTTGATTTTAAACTAAGTTAAAGCTTTCACTAAAATTTTTTTAACTACTGTTGGAAACATTTGATTGCATGACTAATCATAACTTAACGTAACAAGTTCTGGGTTCATTGTTTTTTACAATCAATGAACTATGTTTATAACTAGCAAGTTTGATCATTGTTTTCTAGAATTTACTTTGTCTATATAAACATTTGAATTATTACAACATTAAAAGAATTATTTTTGCTTCTTACCTTTTTTTTCAAATATCATATTTCAACCTTGAATAAAATTTTCATAGGCATTGCATTTATCTTCATCTTAATTGAAACCACATATTTTCATCTTTTTTTTCTAGCATTGATTAGATTAAAAATTTCAATTTTCTTGGTTTTCCATATATGATATTATTTTTATACTTTTCTTTCTAAATATTGTATATTTTCCATGATATTAATATGAAAAAATATTATAATGAAATAAATCATTGAAATTTCTCGCATATTTCTCATTTAGTTTTGTCACAAAAACTAAGTAAATTTCAAGTAAGTTTAATAAATCAGTTTTTATTTCATTTTTTAAAGACATAGGCTTATAAATTATTATACAATGATAATTTATTATTGATTCCAAATAAAAACCAACTTTTTCCAATATGCAAATATTATCTATTAAGTAATTATAATTTATTTTCTATAATAAATTATAAACATATAATCATAAATTCATGAATAAAGTAATATAGCCAAATATACAGAATATTATGAAATATATTCTAATGCTTAAAATTGATCAAGAATAATAAGTAGTTATTTTAAATTTATATTTTCAAAAAAATATATTAATAAGTTTAAAAAATAATTCTATTTTGATAAATATAAAACAATAATTCAATATCAATAATTGAATTTTATCTATGGCAAGATTTAGGTTTGTAATATAATCAAATCTCATTGTTAATATTAGATGATGATACAACATAATCATTCTATTAGAGATCTGTGTTTATTTAGGTTAACTCATACTTAAGAAAGTGAACAACTTTCATTAAAATAATTTTAGCTTTTGATTAGATTTCAAATTAGATTTTGAGAAATAATTTTCATGGTAATTTTTACGAAAAAATGTTTTTAAAAAATACATATAATTATAGTGATATAAAAAAGATAAAATTCTTTTAGATTCTAGATCAAGAAGTATCTGTGTTTTTAGAGAAAAATTATGTGAAGTTGCTCAATAGAATTTTTTTTCAATTCTAAAAATATTAGAATTCAAGAATATATAAATCATCATATAAAAACTTGCGGAGTAATGTCGCAGTAGCACTCCTCTAGATTTCGGAGTTTACAGTCGCACCAGACCAACTACATGACTCTTGGCAGGTGGGGTAACAATTATAAATAGTAATCGGTACATAAAATAGAGTGAAAACGAAAGATCGTGGGTCACGGAGAATCCAAGAGTCGTAAATATATACATAGATCATTCAAATATTTGGTTACATATTTATGAAAATGTTGATTCTAAACATAATCGAATATGCAAATAAAGGTTTCAATAAGTTTTTCAAGGTGTATAGAAAAGAGTAAACCTTTAAAGACATAAGAATTCAGTTGGATTTTTTACCTTGATGTTACAAAAGACAACATTTCAGATGCAAACTCCGAAACACGAATGCATATTTTACAATGTAAGAGATACTGGTTTGAGGTATGATAATCCGTTTGATTGAACATTTCCAGATCACCTTCATATCTCATTAATTATCCTGGAAACCATCAGCTACGTTCGAGTCGTCATTACTACTTCAATTGCCAAATCTAGAACACTCACATTGTCATAACATAGTCAGCATGATGTTATGCCGCTATAATTGGAATACCTTCCATGGTGCTTCAGATGGACTACAATTCTGAAGTTAGTCTCTCTTCTTGTGCAGTCTTCTTGTCTGCTAAAGTAGAAAACCTGCGTGCAACGGAACGACATGCCACCGGTACGTGCAGGTACAATTTATAATCTGACTGTCACTACCCGGTGGGGGACTTTATGGCGGGAAATTTTTGCCGGGAAACAGCAGCAGCAACTTAATGCTCATCTGTCACCGCGTCTGTCAATCGTTGGCTTTCCCGTTGCTGTCTCGGCTGCATACTTCGGCAGATTGAGGAGGAAGATAATCTCTTGCGGACATCTCTCGATTGGCAATGGCGCCATGCTGTTGAGAATTCGAATGGGCTTGGACTGGACTGAGAGGACGTTCCACCACGGCAGAAACGCTATCGGTGGATTTTTGGCAAACCAGCATTTTCCAGCACCACCAATTTGCTGACAGTGGCTTTTTCATTCCAAGAATTCAGTTTTCGTGCGTAAGTCGCTGCAGATTCAGAGAACAGGAGAGGAGACTGGGTTTGCACGTGCTTTCTGTTGAAGACAGGAAGTTCAAGATAGATTTTGTCCGGACAGCTTTGCGGATTCAAAGCGTGTCCGGCACCAGACTGCTTTGACAAAGATGAATGACCACGATATACGAAATGAAACTCGGAATGATGATTCAGTCGGGGCCCAGATTACCGCCATGTTCTTCGATTTTCTTGATAAGTAAGTTTACTAATCAGACTGGCAAACTTACTATGACAGTGTCTTGAGGAAAACAGAGTTAGCAATGAGCGTTCTTTGATTGCCATCACATTGCTTGAAAGCAATCGTCAGAAGATGATGCTTTTAGCTTCGGATTGATGGAAGTTTTTAACGTGCTGTAATGTGTTATCTTTCGTTTTTGGCGGAAGCAGCTTCACGCCGGAGATTGGAGTATCTTCCCAGCTCAGCCAGGAGTCTAGAAGAGGGAAGATGTACTTTGACGAGGTTTCGCTCATGCTGACGAAGGAGCTGACTACCCTCCGAGTTGATTTCAGTCATGTGATGCAATATAACGAGGATCTCCAAGTGGCCATATCCGAACATTTTTTCCGGTGAGGAAGGAGCATTTTCTGCAATTGGACTGAAATGCGATTAAGCCCAGTGTCATTGTCTTGCCTGCGAGGTTTGAATTCTGAACTCTAACATTTTTCTAAGTTTATTTCAGTTTCGAGTCCTACTTGAGGGAAGCTGTGAGAAGATTTGTAAGCCAAGCCAAGCGCGAACTGGAGATACAGCCAGATGATGAGGACTCCAAGAAGGACTACTGGATCGCCTTCCACAACATGCCTCTTGTCAAGAAGTAATTTATTCCCCTCTTCCTTAATAACGTAGATGTTTCTTATCCAACCACAATACACTTTGAAGAAAGCTTACATCTTCCGTTTTCTATCTTCCCTTGTTTTCCTCGAGTACCGCTTCGAAAGTATTACAAGTTCCATAAAATTTACAGTGTGAGCAACATCTCTAGTATAGTGAGTCTTTCTATTTCTTTGCCGAAGCGGCTCACAAACTTTTCATCTCTTCGTTCTTTCTATATGTTTCATCCTCCAGACTTGTGCCCACAGTTCGAATTGAACTCCTTGTTCGACAACAACCTCAAAATTTCAGTAGCTAGTTTTTGTAAACTGGGCCATGCCTCTTCACCTAAACATCCTATTTGGACTATTGGAGACGAGAAAAAAAATTGCAGAAGAGAAAAATCCATTTCGTTGATGTGAACCCATTCCTGTACTATCCTGCAGATTGAGAGATTTAAGCACCTCGGAGATTGGAAGATTGGTGTCGGTAAGTGGTGTTGTAACAAGAACGAGCGAAGTCAGACCGGAGTTGCTCTTTGGCTCCTTCAAGTGTTTGGACTGTGGGACTGTCGTCAACGTCGTCGAACAGCAATTCAAGTACACACAGGTTGGTGGCGTTAGCCTTGTGACGTTTTTTCCTTCACGACAACATGTTTCTTTACTTTTGTATCTCTGTTCCAGACATTTGTTGTTGTCTAACTTCAACTTTGACTTCGCAAAGTACGTGCAATTGGAAGCGAATACCAAGATAATGCATCTTCAAAGCACGATTCCTGCATCATCAAGCATTCGACCACATTCTTGCTCTACTAATCTCGCACTGTATTGATTTCCAGCCCATCATCTGCCCTAATGCCACTTGCTCCAATGCTGAGAGATGGGCACTTCTTCGCCAAGAGAGCAAGTTTGGAGACTGGCAAAGAGTGCGGATGCAAGAAAATTCTGGAGAAATACCAGCTGGTTCTCTTCCCCGCTCATTGGACATCATTCTACGACATGAAATTGTGGAACAAGCACGAGCAGGGGATAAGTGAGTCCATTGGTTTGAAGCTCTACTACCTTATTGCCGTCCTGTATCTGTGAAATAAGCGAGTGTGTGCAGTCATGCTACGTCTTGTCCTGTATCTTCGCATATAATCTGTATCTTACAGGTTATTTTTTGCTCAAGACCTCTGGGTGATATGTTTACAGTGTTTAATCATCAGAGCCAGACCTCAACACACAATCTACTGAAATGTCTGTCTGCCGTTTGTTTCTGGGTTTTTCAAGGATAAGTTGCGAGTATGAGTCGTTAGCTCGTTTTTCTTTCTCAGTAAAAAAAATCTACAATTTGAGATAGTAATGGGTGTGGAACTGCATGAATTGGTCTTAACCCTCAGTTTCTAAATGTCCTGAGTGGTGTGTTGTTGTGCAGATGCATTTTTGCCGGAACGGTTGTTGTGATTCCTGACATAGCTGCTATGGCTTCTCCGGGAGAAAGAGCAGAATCTCGAAAGAAAGGTGAATCGAACCGAAGTGATACAGGAACTATGACCGAAGGCCTGAGGGGTATGAAAGTTTTAGGATCAAGAGATCTCACCTACCGACTGGCTTTTCTTGCCAATTCTGTCAAGGTAATACACTTTGCATCCAAGCTAAATCCCTTGTCTGAGTGTGTAAAAGTAATAAGATTCTATTCTATCTATTCATGAAATTTAGTCACAGGTGGTATCTTTGTCGTAATGACTTTACATGTCGTATATATCATGTTTGTCCACAGCTTCTAGGATGTAGAATTATCTCAAAAACAGAAATGTGAGGTTTCGTAGTCATGGAAAGATCTTGGTCTTTCTTCCTTGTCTCAGTGTTTCGAGGATGAAATGTGATTTTTACAGCCTATCGACAAGAAGCATGGTATCGATATTCGAGGAGGTGGTACTAAAGTCACTGGAGAAAGCACAGAAGATGACAATACTCTTGAGATCACCGTAAGTGAGCTCTCCATCTCCAATATGACTTTCAAAGAAGAATTGCCTAATCTTTTGCGGAAGAAAGGATTTGCTTTTATTGATGAACCCAAAGAAGCAAGAACTCAGTTTCGTTGGACAATGTCCACTTGTCATGCGGTGGCAACATACCCAAATCGATATCATTGTCTACTGCAAATCTATGCCGTCTTGGTGCAAAAATTGGGTTCAGATTCTCAAGTTGCCTTGAAATGTGTTCAGCAAGATGAACTCGAGGAGATTGAAAGAATGAAGAATTTGCCACAAATATATGATCGTTTAGTCAACAGCGTTGCTCCAACTGTTTTTGGTCACCAAGATATAAAGCGAGCCATTCTTCTAATGCTTTTTGGAGGCGTGCACAAGAGCACACACGAGGGTATCAATCTTCGAGGAGACATCAATGTTTGCATCGTTGGAGATCCAAGTTGTGCAAAGTCACAGTTTCTCAAGTATGAGTCACATTACATCACTTCCATCACGTGTGATTCATAAGGGATGAACTTAGAACTGCAGATTTAGAAAAAACTGATCTCTACCTGGTCGCATTGAGCGAGTAAAACTATATCTCGTATAGGAAGCTCAAACTGTAAAGCATCATTAGTTTGAATGTTTTGTGGAGGAAAGCGTGTCTTTTAGGAACCACATCCTTATCGTGTGAAATCCAAAATGCAGGTACGTAGCAGGTTTTCTTCCAAGAGCTGTTTACACGTCTGGGAAGTCTAGCTCTGCTGCTGGTTTAACTGCAAGTGTGGTCAAGGAGCCTGAAACTGGCGAGTTCTGTATAGAGGTATTATTCCACCGCTGAGGCGCTAATTTATCTACTTATGACATAAGTAGATGCGTAGATAGATTTGAATGCAATGGCCATTTTAACTCGGAACACGTTGTTCCTATTTCTTTGAAGGGTAGATAAACTTTGCTCTAAACTGTATGATTCAAACTTTGTGACGCTTAGGTTGATTATGATTTTTATGGTGCTAAGACTCTTTCTGCATCATTAACTGTTTTGGATCATTATTTGGAAGTATTTGCCCATCTCGTTAATGCTCAGATTTTGTGCCAGTGAATACTAATGTACACTTTTTTTGTGCACAGGCAGGGGCCCTGATGCTTGCTGACAACGGAATCTGCTGCATAGACGAATTCGACAAGATGGACATTAAGGACCAGGTTTGCAATACAAACATCTACATTTTCCCTTGCTGTTCTCTCTACAACCGGTTCGGATGATGTTCGCTGTAAATTACTCTTTATAAATCAATGTCACGGACAGGGAGATTTCAATATGTTGTTTCCTTACCCAATTGGTGAGTATGTTTCATTCTTAATGAATGAGCAAGCTGAGATTTTTTTGGGTAGATTGTCTTACTTTTTATCGTCTATGTCTCAGGTTGCTATTCACGAGGCCATGGAGCAGCAGACGATTAGCATAACAAAAGCTGGAATTCAGGCAACGTTGAATGCGAGAACATCCATTCTAGCAGCTGCCAATCCCTCTGGTGGTCGGTATGACAAGTCAAAACCTTTGAAGGTAACCTGCAGATCGTTTTTCTCTTCCATCGATGAAGTAGTACAAGCTCAACCTGCCAAATAGTTGCAGAAGATTACATGAGTTGAAATAAATTAGAAGTTTCCAAAACTTTCACCTGTAAATATTATCTCGCCAGTTTGGACTCGTCGGGCAGGCTTAAACTTACACCGACAAGGGTGTTCATGGAAGTTGTAAGATAAAGTGTAGCTCATTACAGTGTTGTTTGTTCCGATCCTCAAAAGTCTCGCGTGGTCGATCTCCTAGTACTGTGCAGAAAGGTGTATCAAGACTGTTACAATGAAAAGTGTTTCCGTTTGCTAGCTATTTTAATATAAGCTAGGGGTATCCTCTTTGAACTGAAAATGATTTTATCTTCCAGTACAATGTGGCACTACCACCCGCTATACTGTCAAGGTTTGATCTGGTTCATATCATGATCGATGAACCTGATGAAGTACTGGATTTCAATATCGCACAACACATTGTGGCTGTCCATCAACGGCAAGAGGAGGCAATATCTCCAGAATTTACGACCGCCCAACTCCAGCGCTATATTGCAGTTGCGCGGACAAAGAAACCGGAGGTAAGTAATTTCTAAGCTCATGGAGTTTTACCACCGAACATGTTAGTACTTCCGCTTGCCTCAAGTTGTCAATCCATAACTAGGTAGAAGATAAGATGGGAATTAAGAGCTTATCAAGTCTAAAAACACCATTAAATCACCACATTCGTCATTTTACAGTTTCTAGAAGTAGAGAATGTGTGAGTAATCTCAGCAGACAAGCTATGTTGCTGCACCATAGGAGCAAGGGCATCCGTCACCGTGATAATGAGCGCATGAAGTTTTGAAGCACTTCACCTGGAGTTCTGATCTGAATTGGTGTTGGCTCAGTTATCACCAGCTGCAAGAGAGGTTCTTGTAGACGCCTATGTCGCGCTCAGACGTGGTGATGTCAGCGCTGGAACTCAAGTAGCTTATCGAATAACAGTCAGGCAACTTGAAGCCCTCATAAGACTGTCCGAGGCTATCGCACGAGTTCACCTCGAAGATTTTGTAAGTGATATTTATGAATTATAAGATTTGTTCACGCGGGCTGAGTCTGTGCCTCACCGATAGAGGCATCCTAGGTTTTAGATGTGTACCTGCATTTCTAAGAGCGTACAGATTTTCTCATTCGTTTTAACGATTCCTGTCTCTGAGATGTCGTACTTTTGATTTCTCTCCGTTAATTTGTTCTTCTGTTCAGACTGTTCGTAAACTTTCTCATCAGAGTTGTTTTAATATGCCCGTAGCTTTGTTTCATTCATTCCCTTTTCCCTGACTCCTTTTCTGAAAGTACATCTAGGCCGGACCGATCATAGGTGACAGAATACCTTCATCTTTCCTGTATTCTACCCTTGTACTTCAAAAAGCATTCTCCCAAAGTCTTGATGTAGTAACTCCTTGATGTGATTTAGTGACTCGTTGGTAATGAGTCAAATTCTTGGGGAGTGGAGAAATTTTCTGCTTTGAGAGTGTAAGCAGGCGGAGTAATACTTGCTCGACCACCTTGTACCGCAGGTTCGTCCCCATCATGTGAAGGAGGCGAAGCGGCTTTTAAGCACTTCAATAATCAGGTAAAGTGGTTTAAAATAAAGTTTGGTTTAAAGTATTTTTAGTATGTTTTGACAGAGAATGATTCTGTTGGCCAGGAAATAGTCTAGCCGTGGCCTCTTGTACAGTATCTCTGACCCCACAAAAGAATCAGCGGGTGTGGCAGACCTTTTTCACAAAATCAAACTGAATATTTTTCTTTTTCGTTATAGTAATTATATTTGTAGTAAATTTCCAATTTTACTAAAAATATAATTTAATAAAAATTTATCGAAAAAGAATATTTTACTAATTAAATTATTAACACTCTTGATTCGTCACTTACCTCTGTCATTGGTAACTACAGTGTGGACACGCATGAGATAGACCTGGATGATCCGGGGGATGAAGACCCAGCCCGAAACGACGACGAGCCTGGCGCTGCCCCAGAGGGTCTGGAACCAAATGATAACATAGACTCACAAGTTCACGAAAATGGCGGCGGACATCAGGAAGGTAAGCGTCGACATGCAAGGCTAGATGTTCATATCAGATCCACGGTGTCCTGTCATGGTGCATGTTGTGGAAGCCATCTCACATGTAAGGACTCGGCTGCAGCAGGCACATCGGGCGGAGCAACAGATGGAGCAGAAGATGCCCAAGCCAAGAAAATGAAAATCACATTTGAGCAATTTCAAAAAGTAACAAGGGCTTTGGTCATGCATCTACGACAGAAAGAGGACAGCCAACCCGACGGTATACTACTGAAGAATCACTTTATTTTATTGACAGAGGAGTTGTTTGCACTGGCCTGTTCCATCCATTGTTTTCCCTTTTTCTTTCCCTTTTCATCGTGACCAGCTCTGGGCCAAAAGCCCCACTAAAAGCCCCACATATCGCTTGCTTATACGCTTAAAAGCATTTCACTCTCGAAGCGCATGGACGAGGTCAGATGGATAACTCTTTTGCTGTCCATTTGTGTTCAGATGCTCCTGCGGCTGGTATGAGACAGGCTGATTTGACCAATTGGTATGTGGGTGAGCTAAATGAACAAGGAGCTTTCGAGTCCTTGAGTGACATGGCCAACGAGTATAGACAAGTTCGAGCTATTATACAAGTAAGTAACAGTTGACCTAATCCATCCGACGAATTCTTTTGTCTAAGTTAATCATCGGCTCTTGTTGACGGAGACCATTTCAGGTTTACCAAATAATTTTTTGGTGCTTTCACGTGAGTCAGAGGTTGGTCACCACGGTTCTAGGGTTCGTGGTCGCTGTTGTGATGAAGTAGTCACGGCAGTAACCAGACTTCTCTCTACATGAGGCCGTGTTGGAAATTCCTCATCTGTAGAGAAGGCCACGTTGTGAGGTCCTCGTCTGGAGAGAAGGCCATGTTGTAAGTTCCTTCTGTGGAGATTGTTTTGCCTGCATACTAACAAAAGTAAATCTCGGTATCGTGCAGCATCTAATAACGAAGGAAGGAGTTCTTATTGTTCTGGACGATGGCGTGGCCGCAGCTGAGAGTTTACAAAGAGCTGCAGACGAAGCAGCTGCAGCCCCACCATCGGACGATGCCCAGGGAGAAAGTAGTTCTAGAAAGAGACCACAAATATCAGCAGTGAACGAGCGCATTTTAGCTGTGAATCCGAACTACGTCCTGGAATAACTGCCTGCTTATTTGCAGCACGCTACTTGCTTACCAAGTAGATGGATGCTATTTCTTTCCTTTGTTTAGCAACAAATTCGCCACAGCCATCTTCTGGCGACTGTAAAATATTTACTATGAAGGACATCATCTAGGCTAACCATTCCTAGCCTAGGCTACCGCATCAATTGTGGAACTTCAGTGGAAGGGGAGAGTATAATATGTTCGGCTGTCATATGTGATATTTCCTTAGACGAATAGCGAGGACAAGTATAACTAGTCATTTGGTGCCTTGAGGAAGGACATTCGAAGGGTGTTATTCGGTGCAGTTCGGAAGTGTGAGATCCTTGTACGACTTTATTTAGGAATAGTGAAACAAAGGAAGCTGTAAGCAAAATCTTCCGATTAATGTCCGCTTTCAAGACAGATATCATGTGCAGAAGCGAATGGAAGGATAATGCATGACCCATGACAATGTAAAGTAACAACAATCGCAAGCTTATGACAGTAATTTGCGAATGTGAAAAGTGAATGTGATGAATGTCGCTATTGATGTTGCAAGTATGGAGACGATAGTGGTATGGGTGAAACTACAATGTACCGAGTGCATGGGAAGGATGGAAATACTCGTTGGAAAAGTAATCATCATCTATAATCTATCTACACGAAATCGGCGATGATCGTTTAACTTGATAGATTCATGACCTTACACGGATGCAACGGACTTGTATGTAGAAACCCGAGGTACACGACACTACCGACAAACTTGTAATTCACGACTTGTAAAGTTCTTCTCTAAAGAAAGTCAGTGTCCCGATTAAACTTCAGAGAAGTGAAAATAAATCTCCGGCCGTTGTCAGTTGCACCTCTTTGTCATCCCGCTGTTAACAATGTATAACTTTGAGTTTTACAATTCAGTCTTCGAACCAGGAAGTGTTTACAGGGTTTTCAACTCTGCAAATTCGGTCCGAACAGTTCTTCAACCGATCGGTAAAAAATAGGAAGGAGAATGTGCAAAACTACCGCTCCGAATCTGCAGAAAAGTTCAGGAGATGCGCAATTTGGGATGGAGATAATCTAAAGTACACTATTGTTTGATCGCACTCGCACGCTCCTAAGCAGCCTTCTCCTTCGGAACAGGTCGGGCAAACAGAAGTCTATATACAGCCGAAGCTCCCAAGGCTCCAATGAAGGGAGTGACCCAGTACACGTACAGGTGCTCTTGTGACATGTGTTTCTGATTTACATATGCCCAACCAAATGCCTGCGCAAAATATACCACTTACACGCGTTAGAATCCCCGAATGAGATCACGCCCCGCTTAAGCGAGGACAAAAAACTCTTTTGCAAGTGTAAGAACTGGCGAAGGGGCCGCCCCGCTTAAGCGAGGACAAAAAACTCATTTGCAAGTGTAAGAACTGGCGAAGGGGCCTAGCGAGATGAGACCAACAAGCTGAGACAACATCCCAATGAGGAAGCTCCAATCAGATGTTACACGGCATGAACTTTGATCTGCCTTATGAAGGTCGAGAAACCAAACTATGCGTAAACTGATGGCACAGCGAGTAAGGGCCATTGGCTGCCGAGAATACTAGCACCACAAAATGTACAATGCTAGACCTTCGAGGAATCCTACAATCCACAACTGGACTACTCTCTGTAAGTAGAGAAGAGGCAGAGTGTCATCCAGTATAGTGAAACGGTAAGAAGAAATGGCAAACTCACATTCAACGAAGACATGGATTGAAGGGACGAGAAGGGCTCCGTGCAAGACTCAGCTGGAGAAATGGCAAGGAGTGAGTTGGAAACGGTTACTCACGTTGGAAGGATTCATCGCGGGCCCAGTGTAGGGGCCCCCTTTGGAAACGAGGAACAGCGTCGTCATAATAATGATGATGGTCTTCAGGAAGCCATTTTTGGGACCACGGAGCACGGTCCACAATACCACTAAGGTTATGGTGAAGGTTAAAATGCCCTCAGCAACGGCGCCGGTGTGCAGATCGACTTTCAGCTTGGGTCCTCCAATCGTGTGCCGGAATTGGTCGGGCATCACTTCGGTAATTGCCAAAGCCCCTGCAGCGGCTCCGACAGCCTGCGCACGCTCAAGCAAATGAGAACGATGGCCACAAAACTTGCGTCCGACCAAAGCAGATTCCTCAACGAAACGAAGCTCTAAACATTACAGGAGTCGAGAGGCTCAAAGGATTGAAGACGAACCATAGCAGGCAAGCGAATGGCGAGCGTGAACAGGGTATCCACACCAGCTCCGGCGGCATAGAAAGCCACAGGGGCAGTTGGGTTCCAGCTCGCTCCACCCAGAGCTTTGCCCGTGAGCGAAAAGGCAAAAATCAGAACGACGACCTCCCCGACGACGATTCCCGTTCGGTCTCCTTCATAATCCAGCTGCTTGGCTATGACGTGCGCTCCGGCGCCCAAGCAGGACGTGAGAAACACCCACAAAAACGAAAGGAGCCCATCGAAAATCGCAAGCTTCACAATTCGGCTCATGTCGACGGGCTTCGCTTCGTTCTTCTGCTCGTCGAATCAAGAATCGATCCCCTGACCACAACTCCGGCAATCGACTCCTTGCAATTTCACCTGATCGAGCGAGCCACGAGGCCGACGGTCGGAAAGCCGATCGATCCAGCGCCCCCCGCCCGACTGCCTGCCAACGGACCGAGGACAGGACCACGACGACGACGCTGCTGCTGCTGCTGCAATCGGCGGCCGCGACCGGACGAGCGAGGCGAGGACCGCACGGAGGCCACTCTGGACTCTTGGGCCGGTCCACTGAGCACGGCGTCCCGAGGTCGCCGCCTCTTGGATCTCCGAATCCCTCCCCCTCCCCACCGGCGATGTCTGTGGCCGTCCCGCTGCCTTGGTCCCCGGGCTCCTCCGACTCCCCGGGAGCAACGAACAAGAGGAGGAAAGCGCTGCGTGCGACGCCTGAGGAAAGACACCGAGTCAGTCAGTCAGTCAGCCGTGGTCGGTCAGCGTTGTTCGGTCAGCCGGTCGGACGGTCGAGCCCAGCCCTCCGTCTCTCCCGCAGGGTTGCGCGGTGGGTGGGCTTGGGCTCACGCCTGCGACCTGATGTTCACCTTTCCCGTCGCGGGCCACGCCGTTGCCACCCGCTTCTCGCCGGTCCCAGCCAAACCTCATCGTCCTCGACCTCGAAGACGGGGCCGCGCGAGGAGGCCCATCATGAAACCGAGGCGCCATGTCCCGGCGACGAACGAACGGCAGCGCCGAGCATCGGGGGCTTCTCCAAAACAGTCTCTCGTTTTCTAAGTACAATATAATCCTCTATATATTTTTTATACAAAGTCGTTGTAACTTATGATAAACTTTTTGAATTTTTAGGGTGTTTTTTCTTAAACCTTGTGTGGGCCCCACCGCTAATTAAGGTTGAAATAGATGTTAAATCCAAAAAAGCTAAATGTAATAATTAATCATTTCAAATTTTTGTACTTGGTTAACAGTATAGAAACTGAACCCGTATGATGAAGATTTTTAAGTACATCAAAGGAAATATTTATGAATGAAACGGCACGTGGAGCATGACAACCACATGGCACCTTAAGAATGACATTTTTCTAAGCCTGAGTCAATATTGTCAAAACGTGGATAACCTGATCTATATACATAATACGATATTGTGATCCAAACAAACCCGTTTAAGAAAATATTAATCAAACTGTGACAAAAGATGTCCGAAAATAATTTTCCAATTGCAACTCCCTCTTGTTGCATAAGGCATTAGACTAAATATGCACGTTTAAAGTACGAAGTCCGTGGTCAAATTCGATGCGACTAACCCAACACAAAGTGCAAATTCATGTCTAATTAGACAGATAAATCCATGTACTGAATCCGGGAAAAACACAATGTCTAGGTCAGGTGCAGGTATAGATTGAGGTCACACCTAAAAAATTTGCTGAAATGCAGCAAGGGAGTCCACTTCAACGGTGTTGCACACCGTGAGTTGACTGTACCTCCTCACTCAAACGTATGTCATGCCTCACATTTCACCTGTGCCAGCCAATCCTTTGTAGCGCCAATCGGTAGCACGCTTTTTGTAACCTTTCCCGAGGGTCTCGATTCTCGAAGCTTTCGGCCGAGAAAAAGATCCTCGTTGACAATTTCACGGGACTCTCTTATATTTATTGTAGGGGTTGGTGACATGAGGCGAGGGAGGGGCCAATCTATGAAGCAACTGAAGGACAAGAAATGAATAACTTAGTAAAAAAATATTTGAATTTAGAGTAGAAAAAGTACACTAGAGAGGACAGATATTATGTGAATCCTTGACATGACATCTCTTCGTGCTGACATAATAAGTGAGAATACCTGAATAGTCCGAGCATAGTGTCTTATTTCACACCTTCTGTTTTTGTTCAAAAAGCGTTCCCGTGCATTCTCTAGAAGTTGAATGAATCTCATGTTAATGACTGAAAGTATCTCATATCACAGCCTATGAAATCGATCATTTTAGAATTTGACTATCGTTGACATGGGCTAAAGATAGAAAATAGGATTTTTGTAGGCCACAAAAAATCTGTATCTTTTGTTACAGCTTTATTTTCTAATTTTTCAGCAGAATCAGCTTGTGAAAGTTTTGAAAGTTAAATAAAATCTCATATGAAAATTCGTAGCTTCTAAAATGAAAATTATGATTTATCTAGCTTTGAATTAGTTTTAATTAATGATCTCTTTTTTTACTAGAATTAATGTGAATCTTATAATGATATGATAATAATGATGATGACTAAGATACAATCAATTGAATCAATGACTACATTAATCACTGTGTAGATTTTGAGATATCGGTTGAAATTTTTATTTTTTTAAATTACAGTATTTATGTCTAAATTATTCTATTGTAGAATTTTACACAAAGAATAGAAGCTGATTCTTGTTCTTATATTTTCATTTTTAGTTAAAAGCTTAGCAGGATCATAAAAGATGTACGCTGAATCAGATTAATTTGAGTCATACTGCCAATACTTTTTTCTTGCAAGATTTTGAAACTAGAATTATATTATTGGGAAAAAATTCAGAAATTCCACACAAGAATTATTTGATAATAATTACAAATAATTTTTTATCATTATCAATATAAGAAAAGACTACATGATCTAATTTTTTTTTATTTTATCATCATATTTAATATATGAAAGTGATTTTATTTGATATATATAGTTATTTCACTATTATTATCAATGTTATGTTTAAAAATAATTCATTTGATTCTTTTTCTGCATCTTGGTTTTTTATGTGTTAATAATTTGTGTAATGTTAATAACTTTTGTGTGTTATCAATAATGAGCTTGAATTTGTAACTAGTCTTGGCTAATGAATATATTTACGATCTAATAACACTAGACTTCATAGCGCCATGTCAGTGATTTGCTTATATTGATATATTATTATATCCTATTTTGTTACTAAATATTGGTATTCAGAAGTCACACACACATTTGATTAATTATTTAGCATCATTTAAAAATATTAGATTCAAATAAAACGAATAATTATGTCAAGAAGTTGAAAACAAAGATTGTTATAATTAACAATTGATATAATTTTATGACAAACGTTTGAATTCAAAATTAATGAGTGAGTATCATAAAATAATTTAATTTTGTTAATGATCAATTAAAATTGATGATATCTTATTGTATATAAAATTTGCATAATATTAAAGTAAAAATCTAAGTTTTAGACATCATTGATTGGAAGTAATGATCTATGCACCAAACACTTATATATCATTTAGAGCTCAATGATATGCAATTTCTTGAAATTCTTTTAGAAATCCAATCAAGACATCCAGAGAAGCACCGAGTGAATATTTAGGTTTTTTATTTAAAATTAATCAAGTATGAGATTTTATATATTGAAATATATTATAAAAAACAAATATTGTTAAAGTATTCTTAAGGAGATCAATAATCCAAACTTTTAAATATGTATTGTATCACAAAATTTGAATATTTTTTCTATCTTCAGACTTATTTATTCTTCAATATTCATGACACAAAAGAATGAAGATGAGTTTTTGAATTTTTTTCAGGAAATATTTATATCGATAAAACAGAAATTAACATCTGAATGCAAATTTATGATTTTAATATGACTCGATTTATTAGAAATACTTACTCATACAATTACACACATTATTAGAATATGTAATAAAATAAATTCTCAACAGTTATTAGAAGTGGATGTGATTAAAATCTGTTTGGAGATTATCCCTTCGTAATGATATTTAAAAAAATAAAATACTTTCAGATTTAGATATTTAAAATCATCAGATTTTTTACAAGAATAAAAAATTTTCAAGGTAAACTAAAATTTTATTTTTTAGTCCACATAAGATTAATTGGGATTCATAAATTTTAAAATATATTTTATAAGTGATATCTTAATGTTATATTCTACGGAGATGATATGCATTTTTTTATTTTCACGAAAGATAGACAGTCTTGTTTGGATGTTTGAGTAAATGATTAATTTTTTTTTTGTACTTAAATTTTTGTGAATATTCTGGGTTTCAACATTGATGATTGTTGAGTATGACTGAACTAATAGGCTGAATAATTCAATTATGTTCACATTTTTTTGTGCGATAATCATACTCAAGCCTCAAAAATAATTTCAATGATAAAATTATTCTTCAAGAGAATAAATTTATTATTCTTCGTTTATCTAGATAGCATTGAAGTATGTAAATAATGCTTGTTGCAAACTTGCTTGTGAGTAGTTTCTACTTTACTTTTTTCTTTCAAGCTGCTCATGACGTTTTTATTCTAACTAAGTTTGGGTGAAAATGAGTTTGCAACTTAGGCCAACAAAGTAGATACGAAAATAGAAGTCTCATTGTTACGTAGTTCTCTAGACTACGCAATCTTCAGGTCGTTATCACTTTTGGTATTTATCCATGCGTGATAAAGTCTAAGATGGCTTGTAAATGGCTTTAATGTTGTATCGATAGTTTTGTACATGAACGTAAGCTTCAGCGATCTTCTCCTGTACCATATTGGAGTTTGAGACGATCTAAACCACATACTGCTAGAAAATCTCTGTTTGACAATGACACATTTGGATTGGAGTTTGACAGGATCTAAACACATAATGCTAGAAATTCTCAGTTTGACAATGACACATTTGGATCAGGTGGCGTGAATCAGTGCAAGTACGGCTCACAGCAGATTTGTATATAAGGCCACGATTTTGGCAGGAGAAACTCATAATGTTTGATTTCCGCGAGCTTGTCTTTGCTGCAGATCGAAAGCCTCCAGAAAACTTTTGAACCTGAGTTTACATCATGATAAAACTCAAAGGGATTCTTCTCTCTTTGTGCTTCTTCTTGCTCCTTGCTTCTAACGTATTTGCAGAGACAGATACGGATGTGGACGTTGGGGCGGATCCGGACGATCAAACTGGTACTTAAATACTGCTTTCAAACGCTTTGTCGTGGTTCCAACTTCGTGTGCTTGTTTTTCGACCTCTGAATTCGATTTATGACGTTGATGATTCTGAATGAGGCTAGATTACTTTGAAAATACAGGATTCAGATACTGCTTCTGGCCAGTATGTTGCTGCGATCTACAACAGTCCATTCTGGAGATGCCCAAGGATCTGAACTCCACCCATGCAGAGCCCGACAGATGTCCGTATCTGTGCTGCTGCCGTGCCGAGCTGGATGACGCAATAGATCCTCATCAGAACAAGTCCATTGTTCGAATTCCAGCTTCTGCATTGATCTCTAAAGTTCCTGTGGAAGTGACTCCCAAATTCTGCCTCGGATGCTGTTGCAAGAAAGCTTACTATCTGCATTCTGAGCATGATATATAGTTCCCACGATAGTGTATATGTGGGCAGTAAATAAGACAAGCCGTGGGGCTTTCCTCTTTTGTTGTGGGATCGAGGACGGCTTGCGGAAGTTCTGGCCATTTCTTTCTGCCTAGTTTAACTACTATAGTATTGCTTGCTCTTAATTTATCTCTTTCAAGTCGTGAACGTTCGAAAGTCTTGTGAACGTGTCTTCTGCAGTAGCAAATTGTGCTTGGATCAGGTGGGGGTCTTCATTTCGATGACCTTGGGTTCAGAAAATTTTGCTCACATGTAGGCACTTGGGTCACTGGATATATTATAATTGTCTGATAATAGAATAATACTTCAAGTGATCCTTGAAGCAACCGATTGCTTTTCTGGAATTGCAATAATTGAATCAACACTTTTCATGCTGCAGTACTGATGTCTACAAAGCAAACATTGGATACTAGGACACAGAGAGAGTGTTGACATTCAGATCTTGTCTGATTTGACTCTGCAGTTCTGTATGACACCAGCAATTCAAATAAACAAATCAACAAGGAAAAAGCTACTCGGACAATCTACATCTCTGGCAGGTTAATAAGTCTTGAGCTTGTCACCGTACTATAGTATTAAAACCACAATATCTTCACGCAATGATGGTTGCGAGAGCTAACCTCTCCGTTCCACAATTTATTGATGTTTAGAGCATCTAAGAAGAAATAGAGACAATCCGTTCCACATGCGATCTGCTGAGAGCACTTAATCATTTCATATACATCGACGGATATGTGCTCGCATACTTGAACTCATTTTGAACAAGAAGCTTGAGACGTGACTGCGAGCTTAGATGTGGAAGAAGATGAGTTCTGCTGGATGTCAGGGGTCATGCTCAGTATTTGAATCAGTCTCCTCTAATACTTCTCCATCTGCATCAACCGGGATACTTTGGAGCCAAGTCCACACCTTTGCTTTTACGGAATCTTGTTTAGACTTCAGACAAAGAAGTTCCAGGTCCATTGCAAGTTTCAGTCCTTGAACATTCGTAGCTTCAAGGTATTCTCTTTTCTCAAAACTCTGTCGCGGAGAATCCACTATTCCTCCACTACGACTTGGGGTAGAACAAGAACCAACATGAGAAATCGATTTTTCTTTCTTTGGTGGTGCACTCCTGATTGCTTTCGAGGTGCAGTTCTGAGCAGGCCCAAGACTTCCGTGCGAACTGGCATGCTTCTTGATCTCTTCTCTCAGGTCCCACTTCTGGCTGGGACTAAAACTTGGTCTACTCCTTGGGCAAGAATGGTCAGTCTGGGACTTGTCATCGGCTCCTGAAAGCTTCTCATGTCTACTGTATACTAAGGAAGTAATATCAGTGTCAGACCGATATCTTTTCTGCATCCCCAGATTTCCTAGAGTATTCTTGAGCTTAGACAAGGCAGACTTGTGGACGCCGGGGTCTTTGGCGGTTGTTCTCATAGAATATACACCAGATTCTGGAGGAACCATAGAAGCTCCCGACGATGATCTCTCAGTAGTCATGGCTGAAGTCACTCACACCGGATTTCGTAGGAAACAGAAATTTAGAGGACGTCTAGGAACAGCAACATTACATCTTAGTCATCTTTCGTATCTTCATCCCCACTGGTGCACCTGCAATTCAGCCGGCAATCATTACAAATCAATTCCTCCAATATTTTTACAACCAAAATCAGTGACTTTTTGAGGAAGTATGCACACCTCTTAACAGGAGGAAGAATAAATTACAACAACATAGTACTTGCAAGCATTTGTGAGATGGATATCAGTACTGGATAGAGTCATCTCTGTTCGCCTGTCATTCTGAATGTATTTAGTCTTTCGAAAAAAGGGGTTGAACTTTCTTGAGTGGACGAAGAAGAGGTAAGATTTATCAATATAAGTGTGATAACCACAACTGATCTGCATAAATTCGTAACCGTGGTATTGATAACCACACTTCTTTTACCTCGGTCGGAACTGCACAATCTTAATCTGCAAATCTTCACTTCAGCCGTGCACGTGATGGAAATTCTAGCAAATGATGACAGTTAGCTCTTCATCAGCGATGCTTCACTAGACCGACCGATGGCACTCGTCCCTCGACGATCGAAGATCGATGGACAAGTAGAAAACTGAAGGAATGATGTTCCCTCACGTCGACACCTTGGACCTTAAGTGGCCCAGTAACGGCCTCTGGGCCGACGACGTTACGAGGGCATGCCCACTGAAGCTCCAACGGATCAGAAGCGAAGATTTGAATTCCAGATTTGAATCATCAGGTACAGAACGCGCCAAAGATGAACTGCGAATGTACCAAGAGAGTGTGTGAGCATTGCATTGCATCGTTATTTTACAGTTCTGATGAATGTATCGGAAGTTTCGCTTTTGTTGGCCTCAGCTTCGTACCGCTCTCGATGGTTTTCTTCTCGATTGTTATTCCATGCGCATCCCTTTGCTCTGTGTATGAATGAAGTAGTTCTTGACAAAATGGGTATGTTGAAATGTAGTTCATTTAGTCAAGCAAGAGACTGCCTGAAGAAATGGGTCCAATGGCATTTTGATGGGCTATTGGACCCATTTCGTCAAGCAGTCTCTTGCTTGACTATGCTGCTGCGAGACTGAGAGTGACTGTGCTAGCTCGAGACAGGCTGTTGCTAAGAAATAGTTCGAACAAGATGTTTGGAGGTTCTCTACGCATTCATGGCTGTAGGTATACATTCCATGTGCCAGTTGGTACGTGTTCAGGTGGAATAATTTACCAACCTTACAGTTAGAGACGAGAAATTTGAATTTGAGTCACCACTGCACTAGTTTCCTTCTTCTGGTAGAAGATGAAAAGCTATAGAAAATCTGAAAACTTTCGACTCGAATATATTAGTCGGTGACTTTACTGATCGCATATTGGACATCTGGTTCAATCGTCATTTATTTCTGTTTAAGCCTTCATATCTCAAAGCCGGATGCAAGATGCGACGTTTTGTGTTACATTAGGGAGATTCAGAGAAGTATCCAACTGTTACCTCCCCATGAGCTGTAAGTAGGAGGAGCTGGCTAGGAGTCAAGAAACCCGTACAGGTTTTACATCAGAGTATCTTTTTTTTTTCTTTTGATTTTGGGTAATGACGTGCAAGGTCCTAACGCCTGAATTATACCTAAGTGAGGTCAGGTTCAGAGTCCTAAGACTGGCCTTCGGCTTTTTTTTCCTAGTTTTTGCTACTTGTAAATACTATGTGGTACTCAAAAGGTATTCATATTTATTTTTATTTTATAATACAGAGCTCATGATAGTTAACAATTTTGTAACGATCACTTCAAGAGTTGACAAACAAGAAATTATAGATTGAGAATGCTACTGTACATCCTGTCCCGGGTTATTGTCGTACTTCATAATTGTCTTGACGTAGTCTCAGACTTTTCCTCGCTGTCTATTCGTTTCCAATTCAACGGTGGTCACGGTCACAGAGTTTCTACAGAAGTTTTACGACAATTGAGTCTTCATGTTAAGTTTTTAAGCCTAGCAGTCTACCCATGGACTGCATAGTAGTTTCTAACTTACAAAGAAGTATGACCGCGCCGTCGTTCTTCAATACGTCGTCTTTAATGTGAGAGGGCCTTGATATATCACATCGCGTTTGAGTGTCAGTGATCTGTGACCCCTACAGTGTTGCGCACAAGTCTTAGAAATCTTGAGAGTAACAACTTCTTTGTGAGGTGAGTTCCTCGACGTTGCGAAGGTGGTTCACTCAGTTGTTCATTTGTCCGAAGAAGATTGGAAAAGCTGCTCCTCTCATGCGCATGCGTCATCCCCTCTGCAGTTGACCAAGAAAGATTTTGCCAGCGCTTCTCTGCAGGAAGAAGATGGCAGTTCTGGTTTTCTCTTAATGCTCTGGATTCAAGCTCTTACATGTTTTACTAGTAGCTCAGGTTCTATACTCTGTGTCATTTGTCAAGCTTTGATAAGAGGCTCAACGAGGTTTCTTGAGCAGATCATTTGGACACATTTGGTAAAAAGTATACTAACCCTCTGTACTGCTGCCGGCCCGATATTCGGCGGTTTCCTCTTCAGAGATGTGTGCCGCTGTAAGAGGGAAGTCCATATGTCGTCAAAAACTCTCTCTTTATAAATACATCGAGATAGTGTCATCAACTACAGATCTAGACAGTGACTCTGACAGCTAGAGTTAATCACCGCTACACTAGCCTCATATCTTCGTAGATCGGATTGTATTATTTCTGAGCGGAAAGTTATATGCTGTATAACTCTGGTTCTTACCGAAAAAATACACCTGGGGCACACGCCCCTTTGCTGGACTGACATTCAGAAACTTTGAGATCCTAAGTTTGTGTTTGTGAGGACTACAATACAAGTAAACAATTTTTACTAGCTAAGCTTCTTAATCGTCGCATTCTGATATGGAGGCAGCTGCAAAGATATGATATGGCCAACTGGAAATTCTAACTGTATCACTCTGGTGAACGTGCGTGCTGACCGCATGTTGAAGATCGAGAATTTCAAACGCAGTTTCGACCAATCTAGCTGGAGTTAAGCTCTATAAACAGATCAAATGCCACTGAACTCATTTTCTGAGGACGTATCTTATAATATGTGCTGCTGCAATCCTGAGATTGATGGTGCTAGCTTGAGACAGTGCGATGCTGTTGAAGAATATTTCGAGTGAGATATTTGGATGTTCATTACTTTTTTCATAATCCATACTCAATTGACATGTGTTTAAAAGCAATTATCTACTAACCGTAGAGCTAGAGACGGATAAATGATTCGGATTTGAATCACCCCTGCACTAACATCTTGATCTGGCATAAGATGCCAGATTAAGATAAAATAGAAACTCGACTAGTTCAGTCGGAGAGTTCGATGATCACATGAAAGGAACTTACGATCAGTTTTCATAAATTACTACGTGTGTCTTCATATAGTAATATACGAAGGAAGTGGCAAAGTTGCACTAAACTAGCGGGTAGATCGGAAGAGAAATGCAAGTTTTAACCATCAGTCTTATTGCAACAAATGACGCGTGAGTACGAGGGAGAGGCTGAGAGCAAAAAAATCCGTTCGACTCACAAGCTAACTATAAGGAAGTTTTGAGAAGGAATAATCTCAAGATTGAGAATTCTTCTGTACATTCTATTCTAGTTAATTTCCTACTTTTGAATTGCCTTGTTCTAGTCTCATGCTTCTCCAGACAGTTCTGGTATACCATTGGGAAAAAAGTTTTGGAAAGAATAAATACATTTTCTATAGCAATCTTTAGGCTAGATTAGTAGCAGAATAAATCCACAAATAACACACTGATGAAGAAGTAATGTCACAATGAAATGGAAGGCCAGGTGAAATCTATAAAACTCTGTCATACAGTTATAAGCAAAGCTTAATATCTCAACCTCAACAATGACAATATCAAAGCAAGCATCTTAATTAATCTATTCTATTTTAATTATCGCTAAAAGTGAGATTCGTCTTAATTTTAAATTACTTGAGAATTAATGATCAGAGAAGACTGCAGGTTGACATCGCTGCTCTAAATATGAGGAAAAATAAAATCGTGAGTTCTGAAAAAAAAACTTTGAAATACATGTATCAGTTTTCTTCACACCTCGTTAGGACTAAAGAAAACTTTTGCATATTTGCAAAGTTAAGCATTTATCAATATCCAAGGTCAACAAGATTTTTCAGCTTTTTCGTGGCCATATTGTATGATTGGAGGTGACCACGGCAAGGAGTAGGTTATCCAAGTATGTCAAATATGGCCAAATTGCAAGTAAGCTCACTGCACTTCATCTGAAAGTAGAAATCTGATTATGTAAGTATTTCAATATAGTGAAATAATAATTTTACTAAGCTGAAACAAACTGATGCTCGTAAACAATGTAAAGGAAGTGCATATACTTTTCAAATCACTGTCAAATGACAACCTTTGCCACGTTGCATTTTGGGTCTTGGGAACATTCCTCTGACAACTAGCGCCTCACAAAATGAAAACACCTCACCATCACATCTATGGTCAAAATGTGCGAAGCGGAAGTTCAAGCACATCAAGATTAACCCCAAAAACAGGATTCCACGACACGACTAACTCCTATGAATCCCAGCCTTCTCACTTTTTCACCACTTAACCTGAAGAGACGAAGCTCTATACATTGCGAACCAGCTAACCCCTGACCCTGAATCATGTTCCCTTTTCAAATATCCTGTTTTAGGGTTTTTAATAACCAAGACTTCACCTTGGTTTCATATAAATGGGGCACATGCGGTGTTAAACAGCATGTGCCTATTTCCTCATTAAAGGTGGGAAGATCTACTCGTGATGTACTGCGGGACTATGTGTAAGCCAGCATCATTGGAAACATAAATTGAGGTCAGATATGCCTTTGACAGTTGGGCTGTACTTTTTCAACTATCTTCAAATACTGTAAATAGTGGTCTATGTTTCAAGAGCAATAAATAAAACCCAGAAGTAAACGGCATGCTAACAGACTTCGAGAAGATTGATGAAGAACTCACGGGGATATTAACACACAAATATTCAAAACCTATAATGACAACTGAAAGATCGTGCTGTTAGTGTGGGAAGAAGTGTTCACTACAAAATTTACGGTGTGATGTTCACGTCGAATTTCCAGATATTTTTTAACCTCCACACATTGATTTTTGATACTCTCTAGTTTCAAACGTTTATTTTTTTCGTTTTCAATCTACTTTCAGTTGTTGGCATCAATTCTATCTGGATGTCCTCGTTCTGTCTATTGAATTTTATTGCATTGATTCAAGAAGATGTCTTTTAAGCATACAAGGGGGCCAACTGGATACCTTTTAAATTGATGTAAGTTTCCGAGGTACATGTGGATATAAAATCTAACTATTACATGCACGTAGAAAGTTGTTAAGAAACCTGAAGTCTTTTGAATAAAGTATGGGACGATAGTACAAGTCAGTGTCCTATTTATGTTCAAGAGGAAAGTATACTGGCAGCCAAACGTAGAACGAAATTGCCAACTCAAAATGCGCATCAAGTGTGAATATAATATTTGGATTCCCGATAAAACTATCCAAATCTTTATGGAAATTAATATTGCGTCATCATCTTTGTGCATACTAGATTTCTTGGGATTACTTCTTCCCATGTTCGAAAGATGTGCCTGGACCGTGTAGGTCTGTATAATGTAGCAGATAATAAGATCCTAAACTTCCTCATGAAAAAGCGTGAGCTGTACAGTAGTTTCCATGGGTCATCATCCTTTAACACGATATAAATTTCCAAAATGTCAAACTAACCACGATCT